ATCTTGATTATATGCTTGGTTTTTTTTTTGCACTATATCTATTGGAATGTAGCTCTTGTTGTATGTTGCAAGGTATGAAAATAATGTTTGGATCTCAAAGTTTTGTAATAATTTTTTTGCATCAAAGCTAACTTTTTTGATGGTGTTTAATATTTTTAATAAATAAATTATTGGATTTTGGAGTAAAGTAATTTCTATATTCAATACTCTCCAATTCTATAGATTAATTATCTCTATAAGATAGATCATTGCCTATTTATTCAATTACAACAATGTATCTATTAAATAGTATCTTTTAGTATGCCTTTGCTAACTAGTTGTCATAACTTAAGTGATGCTTAATGAAAACTACTGGAATATTAATACTAATCATTGTCTGGTTGTAAAATCTTTGTCAATTGTTAAAGTTACAATGGTGTGAGATTTTTGGTGGTATGTGATGGTAAACAATGGTGGCTTTTTTATAGACGCAAAGGTTAGTTTTGCCATCAACATGTGTATTTGTATGTTGTTGATCAAAAGGTATTATGTATTAGATAATGTGACAAAGATGATCAAGGATCATGTTGGACTTTTCAATAGGCTATTTCTTCATACTCATCATAATTGGAATCCAAATTAGATGTTCTTTCTATATAAATAAATTTATTTAAATTAATTTTTTAAAAATAAAATTTGAATATTAATTAAACGAAATTTAGATGTAAATATTGTTTTGAAATATTAATAAATATTAAATAGAAAATGAAATTAGATACATTGTTTTTACTTTGTTAGTATAAAATCAATTGAAAACTAATTTCTTTTGAAGTAATATCTATCTACAATTTTTCAAATGACTATATGTAATAATTTTTCAAAACAATTGTGCAAGCATATTATTGAGTTCTACTTTGTTTGAATATTATTTGTAGACAATCGTGAAAGAAACATTGTCTTTATAGGATATGTGTGGATATTATGTCCCATTGACTTATAGTTGCTCCAAAAGCGCCTCTTTGTTCTTGCTTCTATAGACTCAAACTATAATACAAATCATTGTGTTGATGTTTTTATACGCATGTCACTTCTGGTTCTATTTCCTACTCCTTGTGGTCTTTCCTTTAGGCAACTCACTTGTAGATTTTTTAATTGCACAATTATTGTTGAAAGCTCAACCAATCTTTTACATAGATTCTCTTATTGGTGAAGAAGTAAAACATCAAAAGATCTACTAATAGTAGCATAAAGTAGACATAAAATATGAGAAAAGAATGGAGTTGTAGGTGCTATTAGAATAAATTGATAAGAAGTATTTATTAAGTAATATTAATGATAAAATCACTAATTGACAAAACATCTCTTCTACTCAATAAAATTCTTATTTGATGCTTACATAGTAGATTTAATGTGTTTGTTATTGCCTTTGTGTAAGAAAAAATGTATTTATTAATTTTTTCTTTTACTTGTTTATATTGCTGAAGGATAAGTTTAAGAGCATATAAAGATACATATTTCACAGCATTGGTGAAAAAACCAATATTATGTTGATATGAAATGTGGATTTGTTTTGAACTTTCTTGAGCCTTCAATTCTCTTGTTGTATTCTCAAAAAAGTTTGAGAAAGGAATTTGAACTTCTCTAAGATCTTTGGTCAAAACTTTTAAGTAGGATTTTAATACCAATTGTTGACCTTCTACTTAAAATGTAGTCATAATTTTGAAATAAAGTAGATTATTTTTCTAATCTTTAACAAATATCTTTTTGTGTAATATTCAAGTGTTCTTTAAGTACTCAATAACTATATGAAAAATAGTAGGAATGTATTTATTGCAAAGATTAGTCTACTTCAAATTAAAAAGCTCTATAAAACATGCACTAATCATAGTGGTCCAATATGTAAGAAATAAAGACTATTTCAACTCTACTTTGTTTGAAAAATATTTTTTATAATTTGCTAGTACATTTTTTTGTATATGCCAAATATAGAGTAATATGTTTGAAGTAAGAAATATTAATTCAATGGTGTTTATTAATCCTAAATCTCTATCAACCCCTATGCAAATGGATCAAATTTTTTTCATACACTTCTTAAAGTTGGCTTACTATCCAACAAAAGAAGAGTTTTATTTCTTTTTAGAAAAAAATAATAGTAATAGTAAATGAGGTATTGAAACTTGTCATCTCTATAATATGTAAAATTGGAATTTTAAATCTATTTGTTTTATATGTGCAATCTATGATAATAGAAAAATGGTAATTTTTTACAAGTTGAACACAATTAAAATGTGCAAAAAATAAAGAAGTAACTTTATCCTCCTAATCACAGTGATAAGTAAAATGGTAATTAGCTCTTTGTACAGTTTTCATAAGACATATAATAGATAATCATCTAGCAAGTGTAATGTGATATAATTTTTATCACTCATTGTAAATAGTTTAAAAAATGACTTTGCTATTAATATTACTCTTATGTAAGATAATAATTACATTTTTTGATAGGATGCGTGCAACTAGCAATTATAAAGTTAGTTCTTTTTTAATTATTTACAAACAATGAGCAAATGGATGGCCTAAAATAGAAGAAGTAGCTCCATGGTTATGAAGAGCATTTTAAATGATCAAATGTTATTGAGTACTATTATGCAAACGATGAATATGTAATGTAAATGTATATATTGTTATAACTTGCACTATTTTTTTTGTGAAAATGAAAATTTTGATCATACTTATAATCAATGCAATCTTTGTGAGGGTGCTATTTGTATACAATATAGCCTTAATTGTATATAAATTCATGAATACTATGTTTTGTTTTTCCTATACTTTCAAAATATTCTTTTGGTGGTATATACATATATCCTTCACTTTCTATTGCAAAATACAAAAAAATTATAGAATATATAATTTTCTCTTCTTTGTTTACTATACACAATTTTTTTTAAAAAAAATCTATTAATATAGGATAAAAAATTAAATTTAGTACATATATATTTATAAGACAAGTAGGAAAAGAGAAATAGATTTATTTTATTATTAGCCATTGAAAACTATTGAGAACCATTGGAAAAAATATCCAAAATAATGATTTTATTTATCCAAATATAGATTATGGTCTTAATGATGAAAAAGATTAGTATTATCTATGTGCAAAATTGCGATGATGGATGGATTGCTTTAGTAAAAATTTGAGTTGCTTTATCATTTTCCTTTATATTTATATATCTATCTATCTATATAAATAAATAAATAAATAAATATATAAGAGATTATTTATCTATTTTTAAAATTAAAATATTTCTTTGTATATATATACAAAAAAAACATACACATATACATACACACATATACATATATATATATATATATACACATGTGTGTATATGTATAATTTTTAGTTTATACAAAAATTATACAAAAATATGTATAATTTTTATTTTAATAATTTTAAAAAGATCTTATTAATAAATTTTTGTACTTTAAAAAATTAGAAAATATTATTATTTTTTAAATAATTATTATCTTACTTAAATATTATTTGGTATTCTTTGAAATTACTTATATATAAAAAATTATTAAATTAATTAAATAAAAAATACTATGTAATTATATATAACCATTAATTTTTTATACAAAGAGACAATTATCTTTTAGTTTTGATTTTGAATATATATATATATATATATATATATATATATATATATCTAGATATGTATATATAATATTAAAATAAAAATATATTTAATATTTCCTATTGCAACTACACTATGTCATTATTAGAGCTTAATTCCTAAGTAATTTTTACTTAATTAGATGAACAGATGGATGTTATTTTTTTTGTTTTTGTTATTGGTATATTATTATAAATTAGTAATCAATTTAATAACTTGCAACTTCTTATTTCTCCTTCAAACGAAGTATTCTTTGATATTTTAGTTTTTTGTAGATCCAACTCAGACAGTGTTCTATTATATATTCTTAATGTGTTAAAAGTCTTAAGATCAAATATTTAATTTTACATGCTTTCCAAGTTTGATAAATATTTTCTTTAAAATGGTGCTTAATATTTATAAAAAAAAATTTAAAAATTTAAATATCATGATTCAGATTAAAAAATAGAAGCATAATTACAACAAGACTGATACTATATAATGTAGATTTATCTTTTAAGACACATTGTTTTTTTTTATACATTAAGTATAAATTTTATACAAGTATCTATAAAGCATAGTTGTAATCTTGGGACTAGACTTTGAACCACCAATAATTATCATGTTATTTAAAATTTTGAATTTAATTTTATATATTTTTATAAATTTAGAATTAATGTGGACTTGAAGAGATGTTTATACTTAGTATAAAAAGTAAGTTTCTTACGGCCCTAAAAGAAAAATATGAGATGAAATAATTTTTTTTCTACTACAGCATAATAATATTTTTTCACATAAATTTGTGATATATCCACCTCAAGTGGTGGTTTTTACAAAAAAATTGAGAACCAATGTCAATTTTGTATTAAAAAAACCATTTAAAACAAGAACATAAATAAATAGATAAATATATTATTTGTTGGAATTATTAAAATAAAAATATAAGTAGACATATTTAGACCTATAATAAAAGAATTATTTAGTACATTTCATAACCTCTTCTCACTTGCGATTGTCTCCAAAAGCTAAAGCTTCCAAATATAGAATCTATTTTACCAAACACAAAACATTTACAATACCTTTGCACCATGGCCTTTCAAAGTGGGGTTCTAAGTATAAAGAACCCCTAAAATATACATAAAAAAAATACTTATAAAAGGAAGCACCCAATTCTTTAATTGACAACCCTCATGCTTAAAGTCGAGGCAAGTCTTTCCAAGTCAGAGCCATGACACGCAGGACCAAGAACGATACCCCCACCCGGTTTCCATTCATTCATTCATTCATGCATTTATTCATCCATCCACGAGCGGGGGGGGCAGGTCGGTATGGCGGCGTCCATGTTGCGCTGCGGTGGTGTTGTGGAACGGCAGCGCGGTCTCGTGGCATCGGGGCTCGAACATGGAGGAGCATCGACTGCGACGCTGCTGTTGCTATTGCTGCCGGTGCTGTCAAACGTGGCAGAGGTGGTGACGCATGCACGAGAGATCACTTGATACATACTATGTCAGACTCCAGTGGTAGCAGGACTTGCTTTTGTCCTTTTTTGCTTTTCTTTTCTTTTCTGATTCGATTTGCAGCGTCCACATTGATTCCTGTGCAGCCGGCCTGCAAATTCCTGTCCTTTCGAAGTTCCAGCTAGTAGCACCTCGGTGATGCCTTCTCATGCAGAGAGTGCAGTAAGTTTGAAGTGCATGGTCCCTTCCTACACTTCTTCACAAACCATTTAGAATATGCTTCGTGTGTAAATTCTACACACTGTGTTGTAGCTGGTGAAGTGAAATTATATAGTGTGCCGAGCAGAGTCGAGATTTTGTGGAGTTGGGGAGATCGTAGTTTGGCGTCTTGGTGGAAGCTTTGATGTTAAGCAACACGATATCCCTCAATTCGGTAGGTGGCTTGTTGACCCTTTCGCAGTGGTTAGCTTGTGCACTGTTCGGGTCGATTTGCTGCTGTCAGCTTGCAATTCCGTGACTATCTTCCCGACGGATTTCATTCGTTTCTAATTGGAGTTCACACGCGAACCCGGTAGCGACAGCAAGGGTGTTGTCCGTTGCAACTGACGCGTTGGCATCAGACTGTGCACGGAAAAGTTAGAGTTAGCCTTGAACGTCGATGTTTTGGCAGGCAGGCGTGCGTCCGTGTGTGTGTTTTCCTCCACTTTCCTTACCCTGTGCTTATTCTCTCGTTCGGAGAAAGCAGTGCATTCTGTGATGTGGTATTAACGCTCGCAATTAGAACTGTTGCAGACCTTCTGCATAGCGTGAACCAATATTCGAAAATGACAAGAATGGGGATGTCTGTCATGCACCTGGAAGCCAGCAATGAGCTGCATTTGGATTGTATTTGTAGCTGATTGGCACCAGTTGCAGTTCTAAACCCTAGATTTCACACACTGTGTTGGCTTATTCGATGGATGCAAGAAACCCTAATGTATTCTATGGTAATGTGCAGCTGGATCTTGTCCCCATGGTGCATATTGGTTGTACCAGTTTCTTGTCAAGTTTGGTGCCTTCAGTGAATGGTTTGGTGATTATGAAAGTGAACCCTTGTTCATTCTTTTCAGCTCTAGCTTCTGAACTGAAAAATTGTGTAGGGCTTTCCTTATGAAGCGTTCAAGGCGGATCCCAACTTGTTGGTTAAGCAGATGTGATATATAGTTGTTTGCTTCAATGTGTGTATGCTGATGGTCGATTTAGAGGTGTGAGCAAAAATATGCAACGTACTCATAAATAATGATATAAAGAAAAAAAAACGTTCCGAAATACTTTTAAAAATACAACACATTTCGTATCTAATATGAACTCATTGATGGCACATTTTTTTTAATTATTATTTATTCTAATTTTTTATGTCTTAACTTTAGATCAGAAAGTTATATATATATATATATATATATATATATATAATAAATTATAATACCTGGTTTCTCATTTTAATGATTTTATTTATTTTTAAATACATAACATCTAAAAAATGCTGCATTAATAAATCAATAAATAGACTTCTCAATTCAAATGTTTTCCTTGGGTTTTAGCTGATTCATTTATAATTGCATAGAAGCACATCAGTATGCAAGGTCATAAACTTAAATTTTTCTCAAAATAGAGTGACATACCCACAATGTTGTACAATACACCATATGTTGGCAATTGTGTATACAATAGTTTTGCAAGTAACCATTACAAGTATTCAACAAGAGCATGACAATTAAAAAGCTTGATGAACTCACGAAATAGAAGGGTTGAAAATTAAAGTGATTGATGAGTTTGTAATTTCAGCCAATCAAACAATTAATCAGTTTGCGGCCTCTCACATTGTCTCTTAATATTAAGACCCTCTGAGTGCTACCCAGCAGTGATTGATTGAAATGAGATTGTGGATCTTGGCACCCCTGATTCTCCATATACATGTGTGTTTGTCAATTAATGTACTTATTTATTCATACCTGATACTGTCTGTACATCAGAAAAGACGTGCTTCAGTGTACTCTCAAGGCCAAGTAAACTGTACCCATGTAGCCATCTCTTCACACAGACTGAACAGTCGCAAATGTGGAGATTTCTTCTGGTCCTTACAGCAACTTCTCAAATCTCACTGGGAATGCAAGCATTCTGTTACAATGCATCAAGTGGAGTGAGAAAGAGTCATTCTCATCACACCACCACAGATTGATAAGTGAACAATTGGGTGTAAGATCGTGTCCAACAGGACTTCGAATTCCGTCTAATATTTAGAGAGTATGTACTGCAGCGATTGAGTTAGAGTTTAGGGTCAGAGACCGAACTTACTGCTAGCTGAAGCATGACAGCCGAATGTGCAAAGCTCAAGTACGGTGGGCCTTCCGGTGGTAAACATCAACAGAGGCCTAGTGATATCTTTGCGGAACTGAGTGGTGAGAGTTACCAGATTGCATATGGCCTGGCACTGAGAGATAGGCTGAGCAATCTGGAGAGCCGTCTCGTAGCTCTTGAGAATCAAGCTCAGGAAGCCAAAATAAGGCATAGCAAGTTAGTGCTCCGAGAGCTTGTGAAAGAAGCACGGGCGAAGATACTCGAGGTGAATGGGATCCCTCAACCCTCTTCAAGACAGAGTTAGAAATACTGTCTCAACAACTTGACATCTCTGCAACTGCAGCAAGCCAACGTCAATTTAAAGATGTGGCCTGAGATTATGGAGATTCTGAGCCCATCGACCGTGAAGCTCAATGGCTGGGTTAACAGGTGCGCAACGTGGCAAGCGGCACAACTAATTGAAGGCATGGGCACGAAGGTCAAGGCAACATGGGTTGAGTTGTTTAAGTTGACACACCAGGGGAAAAGTTGTGAAGACTACGCGAAGCTGGAGAAGCCTCCCATGGAAGAGTAGCACAGTAGTGCGTTCATGAAAGGTGGTCTAATAAACTGATAAAATTGAGAATAGGCGGAGAGAGAAAAAGCTAAGAAATTGATGTCATCGTCCCGATACTTTTAGGGATCGACACAGAAAATACCTCAAACATAGATGCTTAGAGGAAAACAACCACAAGTGAATGAAAGCTTTTGAGGCAATGAGTTGTTAATTCCGACATTCTTCCTCCAACCCGTAAAAAAGTAAGGTTATGGTACAAAATTCTGATGGTTAGCAGCTGCTTGCCAGTGTCTGCACATGAATGATACATCTAATTGTAGCCTAGCGGTCACATCATTCAGCTGAGTTGTGACAGCCCTTTACTGGAGCTCACAACACACAGATGACGGTGCTGCTTCAACAACGCCAGTGCTGAAGCCATTCGTTCCCGTTTAAGCTCCACGTACACCGCAGCCAGCATAGCTGTGGAGTTGGTGGGAGCCATTGTAAGCGCAGCTTGTGCCAATCGATGTGCTTCCTGTAGGTTACCTTGCATTGCATAGACAGCGGCGAGGTTTATATAGAGTGATACTCGTGCACTGGTTCCTGTCAATCGTGCAACACTGGCCGCATCGCCCAAAGCACCAACAGTGTAAGTAGCACCGTCCTCGCCATCGCCACTTGCCTCACTGTTGTCACCATATTTCCATTTGAGGCTCTCTTCTTCGGTTCCTGAGCTCGTAGGTTCAGATGCTGACTCGTTTAAACATGTTGAGAGATGTTCCAGGGCTTCCTGAGGTCTCTCCAACTGGCAAAGAGCTTCGGCTGCGTACACGTGCCCTAGGAGCAGGTAGGGTCTCGCACAGGAGGGCTGCCGCAATAGCTGCTCTGCTGACCGAAGAGCTCGTAACGGATGACTCACTCCAAGTTGGCAGTATGCGAGCGCCGCGAGTGCCCACATCCGAAGTGCAGCTGCTTCTTGCATTTTTTGTTCCTCCATAGCTGCCACCGCAGCTAAGAGACATTTAGTATCCTTGGCTTCTCCGGTTGGGCTGGGCCCACCCCCCATCGGATCGCCTCCCTTGGTACTCTTGTTGTCGTCACTGTCCTTCACCTCAGCCACCGCAGCAGCTGCTTCAGCAGCAGCTTCGGCTGCCTTAACATCACAGCGATCAAAGAGACATATCGCTGTATGTAGACACTGGATTGCAAAAGAAAGGGACAGCTTGTGAGGCTTCCCAGAAAGGAACCACTTTTCGCCACCATCAGATATCTGTACATCTCCCTCTGGTTCATTTACCTTAAATCCATTTACTACTGTTGGGTTAAGGCTCCCTCCAGGCAGCACCACACGACGCCATTCTCCTTCGCCTACAATTGTTACCTCAACTTCTCTCTTCGCTGTAGTATTCTCCAAAAGACCCTTCTCTAGAGCAACAATACAACACTCGGCCAATCGTAGCCATAACAAGGGTCGATTGTAGTATAGAGAAGCAGCTTCCTGAAGAGACAGACACAATAGGCCATTGAAAGCACTAGTGTGAATAAATTAAAACGGCACTAGAAGTAACGCTTCTCTAATCTGGACGTATACAAGAAGGTAAGAACAAAGGAGAAAAATTAGAATTGAAAATAAAATATAATTTTCACACCTGAAAACAACGAAAGGCCCGGATTGGGTTCCCACATGAAAGCTGCTGCAACCCTGCGTTATAGACGATAGGTAGCGACCTGTCTTGCGAAAAAGACATCGCAGACAGGGAATTGTTGCGCTCTGATGATGCACAAGCTTGGAGTGCCTTCCGAAAGTACAGAGCTGCAGTCTGGTCTTTTCTAAGTCGATGATGAATACACCCAAGGTTGGAAAGAAATATTCCTCGCATACTTGGATCAGATCGTCCTATACACATGGTCAACTGCTTAATGGCTTTTCGGTAGTTTCCACGAGAATACTCCATCTGTGCTTTGAGGAGCAACGCAGTCATATTTTCCCGGGAGAGGTTCAAAGCAGATTTGATCTCTCTTTTACTGGCTTTCAGATTCCGTGCAGAGATAAACAAGCGAATTCTGTACAGATGTAAGAGCAGTTTCACATCTACCGGAGGCATAGGTTTCTCCCGTCCTGCAACCACGGGCGCAGTTGTAGCTTTATTGCCCAGATTTTGACTGGAATCTATCTCTAGAGATCCAAGAGTGACAGGATCCTCTTCTAGGCCTTCATCAGACGAAGTCCTGGCCAGAGTTTTCTCAGTATTGGTAATAAGTAATTCGGTCTCAGGAGGTGTGGAACTTGGCACGGAGGATGCTGAATTATAATTCTCCGCAGGAGGTAACAAGTACCCGAAAGCCTTTTCCATATAATGCAAAACTTCCTGCAGTCCCACAAATAGATAGCGTCAAACAGACTTGCATCGGATAAAACACTTTTAGTACAAGACTTTCAGTCCAATAAAACAATAAATTATAATATTGTAAACTCATACTCGTGATAAACTCATGCCGAAAGGTAGAAAAGGTATTAAACCCACCGCTGCTTTCCCGGGCTGACCAGAAGCAAGAGTGATGTCCAGCATGAGAAGGCACACTCCTAGTGCCGCTGTCTGCACATACACGCATCCGGAGGGTCAGATCATTAAGAGAACGCACATTTAGCCACAACGCTTGTCCTCGCGAGAGTCTAAAAATTCTAAAGCTTGAGAAGAAATCATCTGGTGCTTAGAAACGCGCGTTGGACTCTTTAAACGACCTTCCAGACACAGACTAAAAAGAGGGGGGCATAAATGTAAATGACCTACCTCATCGATTGGTTCAATGTTGCGGTAAAGAGGCTCCAAGACAGACATCGCCGCAGCATATCTTTGAAGGTGGTACATCGTAATAGCCTAACCTCAAATGCAAATCACCAAAATATGACATTATCCCCTGAAGATGCTATACAATGCGACGAATATCAATGATAACAAGGAGCAGGTACCAAAATGTCGATTGAGAAAGCAGTTCAAAGCCATCAATTCCAATACTAAACATGGAAGTATCTGAGAATAGATACTCCTAAAACCAAGCTCTCTAACCAGACCACAACAAGACATCTTAGTTAGGAGCAGATAATCAGAATTAAGCCTCATAACTGACTGGAAATTGAGGAGACACTGATTACGTACAGTGTTCAAGTTGGGAATCGATGTATCGTAGTCGTCCATGTACGCAACAACATCCGCGCTATTCGTACGCGTGGCGTTAAAGACCCCACCACTGCCATTGGTGCTACCAGAGGTTGAAGCCGAACCATTTCCTTCCTGCTGCTGTTCTGCAGCCCGAGCTAGTTCTTCATTACGGGCCTGTAAATAAAAACTACAAAAAATTCATCGAAAGCACCTCTAAAAGCCAGAAGATCACAACTTCACTCATGATAGGTATTACCAACAGCCATAGAGCACAAAAAAATTCAATGGGAAATGTAGGTTAAATCATTGAAGAAACTAATTCAGTACCGGATGCAGTCTACTCAACATCCACTAGGACATGGTCACGCACCTTCACTTGAGATAGCACTTCCAGAAGTTTTTGAGGGTTTGTGCAGCCATCCCGATAGTACTCTGCAACAGCAATGTTATGTCGTACCTGCACATTCATGACAGTACAATATCATCATTAAAATATTTTACAGCACAAGAGCAACAATATGACTAATCAACAATCTCCAAAATTCCCGACCTTCACATTCCATGCATAAGGACTCCGATTACGAAAGTCAAGAAATGTAAACAATAACACGTGATGGTTTTAAAGGGCACATGCACCAGAAATTGACAAAAGAAAAGAAAAGAGAAGTGAAAACGCCGACGATCCCATCACTCAAACTTTCTTACACACATAACCTACTCCATAACCTTTCTCCAGAACTAATACAGCCCCATGATTTTTTTCTCAAATAAGTTTTGCGGATTTTGAAGTCCCAGTAAAGTCTAAGTCACAAATATCATGATGCACATAGCCTCCCCTGCCTAGAAGAGAATAAAGACGGAATGCGCTTCTAAAAAAGGATCAAGAATAAAAGCCATTTCATATATGCTACAAAGTTGAGCACGGCTACCGATATAATCATCGATGCCGAATGTTAGGACAAAAACCTGATCAGTAAGCTGCTTACGAAAGGATAATTTAAGTACATCAAGCGTAATACCAATGTTGGACTAGCACAGGTAGCATCAATTTAAAGCCTTCCAACTTTAACAACCTAAGAGCTACAGCTGCAGAACCCGTTACTTTTTAATCATCAAAATTAGTCAGACTTCTAAGAAGCTCCACTGCTCGAGGTATATGGAAAATGACGAATAAAACCCTGAAATAAAATAGCGCTGAAGACCTGTTCGTAAACTTACTTCCAAGTTAGCAACTGTTAAACCAGCGCATTGAACGCTCTTCGCTGAATACCCTAAAACTCTTCAGCACAACTTAAACTTCTCCGAATGAACAGAATCGGCTCCAACATCAGCTCCAGACCGTAAAATCACAAAATCCTAAAGACCCAACACATCTTCCACCAGATACCAAATGCGACATCACTCAGAAACAGTATCCAGGCTTGGATCCACTACATTCACCCCAAAAGAGCAAGACGCGGTATGACTGACCTACCTTAGGATCCTCATCGTTGTGCAGTTGCAGCTGGTGCAGAATAAGCAAACACCCCTGGTAGGCACGGGCATGGAAGAGCTGCGCGGCTTCCTTGGCCAACCCTGTAGGCAGAGAATGAGGCCGGACATTATTCCCACCTACAGCGTCATTCTCTGCCGCGGCACCATTCGAGGTCGCCCCTGCGGATTGCGGCAGTGGTGGCTCCTTGGTGGTGGTGGTGGTGCTGCTGGTGTTGGCGACGCCATCGCCATCTCCCTCCATCCTCCCCTGCCCCGACCGACGTCGTTGTATTTGCAAAGCATGGATCGGTCTCTCGCGCTTCCCTCGTCCTGCACGCACTAATGGCGTCCTCGGCACTGCCCTGGCTCTCCGTCTCGTCTTGCTCAAGCCTTGCCCTCGCCTACGAACCACAGCATTCGTTTCTGTTTTTTCATCCATTCTTGTGCCGGTCCGCGCGGCTTCTTCAGTTGCGAAGGGCGACATATTCATTTACCCTTGTGAAGTTGGACTACGCAGATTCAGATGAGTTTACTGTTCTGAATCCCCTTCTTCACTCTGCCATGCGATAGTTCTCTACAGCACCATGGAATGGTCCCAGTGGTGGGAAGTTGGAAGGCAGGTCAATTCTCTCCTTCCTTCTCGAGGGCAGTGGGTAGTAGTAGTAGTGTGCATGGCGTTCAGGATTTGAATCGTTGGACCCACCCTCTCGTGAACTCACGTAGACATTTCTACTGCTCGTAGCCGTAGTTGCGGTTGAAACTTACGACGAATTCTGCCCGTCTTACTACGGGAAATGGGTTACGTCTATACTCTTCTGAGTCTGACCAAAAATACTGTTTCTAGGTTGTGAGACTTTAGGGTTGTGTCTCTCTTGTGACTGCTGCTTTGCTCATGGGCTGTTAATTTGTACATGTGAAAAATTGGTTGGGGTTTTTCTCTCTTTGAAGTCGTAATGGGTGTAGGTTTTGCTTTTCTGCGTTCACATTGTTTTCACCTTCTTTCCCCCTCCCTTTTTTCAAAAAAAAATATATATATATATATATATATATATATACTTTTTTTCTGTAAAAACCAAATGGTTTGGAGTATGACTTGAAGAATAGTTGTGTAAAACCACCTCCAACTACTAGATTATAGAAACTGGCAACCCTCATGCATAGCTAGTGGCTTCTGTCCACCACCTACTATGCAGATAAATGATTGTTAGTAAAGAAATCCACGTGTTGGATCACAGAAATAATCAGTATTTCTTTTTAATATTTCCCTGCCCCTACCATGATCATACGAATCTTAAAACTGCAACGGATCGAAGTCTTGCCATACATGAATCAGGGAAAAAATCATGAGTGTTTCAGAATGCACGTTAATGATACAACATGGAGACATGGCAGTGTGACAAATCCACATGCACCAAAAGTTTCTTTTGTCACAGCACATTTGATTGTGTCTTCACGAACAGTTTCTATGATTGCGCGACCCGAATCGGAGCCATCTGACCATGCTTCTAGAGCTTGAGCTCCAACTACTCAAGATTGTCAACGCTTTATCAACTATACTCTTCTTGCATGCCTGATCAACAAGCTGCCATAGCCATAGCCAAGCACTTCTTGACATCCCAAAAAAGCTTTCGATGTGTTACTATCATTGAACAATGGTGAAGTTGAGAGCTCAACCAAAGTGAGGGTGATGAAGGAGGGTCGTGCATTCACAAGTAAATGATTAAACTCGATGCATCAGAATAGTAAAGTCCCTAAATCAATCATCAGAACTCGAGCACAACCTTGTACAAAACTGACGAACAGCCAACCTGCTAAAATATGCTCAAGTATGCTACTGTCTTCGTTGGCGGGTCCAACTGCTCAAGGTTGTGGTGTCCGTTAAATTTGAGAAAACCACTGTTGAAGATATTACTTAGTTACCTTGTTCCAAGGTCGCTCAGAATTTTTATCAATTCCTATTTTCGGATTCATCTTCGTCAAAGAATGAATATTCATAAATAAATCCAGCAATAAGACAGAAGAGCTTACCACCATTGAATGGAAAATGATGCTTGAGAAAGTAAAGATAAAAACAGTAGCACCTGAATGATTATCTCTTGCGATTTCCTCTGCGAGGAATCCAGAATACTTGCCATAATTGTTTGGGTTTTTGAAGGAACAGCCAGCACCTATTAGAGCATCTAACAAAAGAGAATCAGGTGAGAAAGTTTGGTTTCCAAGTTTGTCGAGAGTACCAAAGTTTAGAGTCGAGCAAGAACATATACTAGGTCACTGTGACAAATAAATGCGGAAATTCGAAGCTTGTACACTGATGCTGAGTCAGAATTTCAGGCACCTTTATCTCAAGACCATCCTGACACTGGCCTTAGACGAAAAGCTCACTTCAACAAGTGTTGCACTCGCAGGCCAGAGAATGTCCTCCCGTAACATTGGGCAACGTTACAATAACAAGTATTCAGTTACTGCTGATACTGTGGAGATGATATGCAGCAAATAGTAGGTGAATACCTTCAAAGCTTCATACTCTACACTTTGAGCCTCAAACCTACTATTCAAACCTTATCCCTGTCCACTAGGGAAAAACAGGGTCACACAAAACAATGGTGATGACTCTAAAAGTCGAAGCAAACATGATGGTTCATAGCTCGGTGACATGATGAGCTGCTTGGTCCTTCACTGAACCTCCAGGATTCAAAATCTCTTCTAGCCACCACTTAATTACTGTGAGTATTAGTCTACGATAGTCAAATACAATTTAAGAAAACGAAGGGATCAAAAGCGGATTCCCCGTGCTTTATAAGGCTGCCATCACTATGGACAAGCTGCCGTATGTCTAGAAAGACAAATTAAAGAAGACCTCAGAGGTTCCCATGAATCTTATAATCGGTTGCTTGCGAAGTTGCATAGAGGCGAATTAATGGAGTGTTACCAACCTACAGTCAATGTTGCAAGGCCAAGGTTAGAGGATAACAAAACACCCTAATAAAGGAAAGCTTTAGAAGAAACAGGAGAAGAAGTCAGGAGTGCAGTATGAAGGAATAATCTAGGCAAGACATAATCTCGGTTTCGTTTTCTGTTTTTGTATATATATATATATATATATATATATATATAATAAATTGAGAATGGAGAACATTGAAGCCATCTCCAATAAAAAGCTGCGTTAAGACAGCCGATTGCAACATTCCACATCAGTGTAAGGATCTTGATTGAACAGGAGAAAAACTAACTGCATTAACAAAACCATAGCAAATGCCCAAACCTCAAACCCCATCTCCAAAAACTCTCAATCATGCGTAAGATACGCAACAAAATTGGGTGCTAATCCAGAAATACCATAACACGTGCACGTCCCCCTTCTAAAATTAGAATAGCTGCGGGGTTAAAATGGCGAGCTGTCCAGTCAGTGAAGTGAGCCAAGCAAGGTGGTTCATTCGGTGTCTAGCAGAAAGCAGGTTCGCGTCACTCATTATCTCCAACAGCAGAATTGCTCAAATTTAGTCTGTAATGCTGATTTCTTCTGAAGGGCGGTAGCATTAAGCTATAGGCTTTCTGGACCCACTTCATTGTTGACGAGTTTCTCGCCTGATGCCGATTCTGTACGAATCACAATTACTGCGTCGTCGTTGCGTTAAGTCACGTGTGGATATTTATCATTCTGCACGGGTCCCACTGCTACAGATGTTACACACTCTTTCCAAAAAAATCCATGAAAATAGAGCTAGTAAGGGGTTTCGATGAAGTACATACCCCAGATCGGAGGCTCATGCATCAGAATGGACAAATTCTTGTCGTGTACATAAATCTGATGAAAGTGGAACTTGTGTTGTTAAACTGCAGCTAATATTGTATTGTGGGGGAGCGTGAAGTGGTGGCACAAAGTACTATACCCTAATCAGCTACATTTGTTTACGAAGTGAAGAGTTTTATTTGTACCTTCCTTGCTTGAGATTTTTCATGTATTTATATTCAAATTCAAAAAATTGATGCACATGTTCACATTCTGTACCATAAATCTTACGAGGCGCACTGTCGAGATGCAAGCCCGTAGTTGCTCATGGGGTGGGTTGAATTTGCTGCTTCAAGAGTTTGGAAATCCGTATTGCAATGCAGAAGTTCTCAACCACTCTACCGCACAAAGAAAATTGCAAGACGACAAAAAGTCCTAGATAGGATAACTAATTAAGATGAACGCTTGCAAATGGAGAACGCAGGATTACCGCAGAATACAATTTCATTCTTCAATAGCCTGTTTAAGTTACCACAATCTCTAAGAGCCTAGATAACCTCTCATTTCCACCTGCTGATCGAAGATGCCAATGAAGCTCACAAGCCCACGAGTTCAGAGCCACAAGTAAATACAGAGCAGTGTCGGTCAGGCTGGAATTGGCAGCAAAACGAAAACTCAGACTAGGCAGCAATTGCGCACACACAAATATCGAGTATGTTGAACTAAAGCTTATGGCAAAGTGCATAGAAGAAATATAAATTGTATCTCAGAATACTGAGCAACGGACTGACGCAACAGTTTGAATGTCTTCTTCGGCACCCCACACACGATAGGGTGCAATGAATTCCAACAATTCTAAGCAGGTGGGAAAACAACAATTCTAAGCTCACTAACACAACCAACACCTGCGTCAATGCTACTCATCTCGTGACAGTATCCAACGATTAACGTTTGTCCTTAACGAACCTACACAAGGAATACTACAATGTTGACATCTGCACAGAGCGGCATAACTGCAACATTTATAGGTCCAAACAATGAAGCACACTACTGTGGGGATATGTAAGTGTTGTATGGCACGCGGTTTGGGCCAACCTGAGAAGGCAGCTGCTCTGAGTCTAAAAGTTGATATGGGTCTATGTAAGGGGGTGGATTAATTCTCGTGCCACTGTGTAGAAAGGCTGGACCAAAATATAAATACGAAGCCAGAAATAAGACAAGGGTACCTACAATGAGCGGCCAGAAAGTTACCCAAAAGGTCCCGCCTAACTTGACAAGCTCCTGGCCTCTAGGTATCAATCCATCAAGGCCCTCGCTGTTAAGAGCCATGGAACGCTTCCTTTGATCAGATGTGTCTCTCTCGTCTGTGGACTTGGGCATACTGAAGGCCTTGGAGCCTTCAGTTTCTTCTTCCTTGGTTTTGGTATCTGTTTCCTTCATACCCACATCTTGGCCTAACTTCTTCCGCTTAGCAAGTTCTCTCATGAAGAGTGTTTCAGGTCGTTCCTCACTGCTTGGGTCTTTATCTTGGCCTCCTTCCCAGCGCACAACCATGCGGAGGTGATGCCTTGAAGTGCTATTTCTCGACCTGAAATGCGGCCTTAAACTAACGTTGCTACTAATAAATAGACTAGATTTCAAACTCCTCGCCAACCCTGATGCCGTCACGTTCGGATTTCTACAACTAGATGTGTAGCAACATCGAGGGGCACTCGCCGAGAGAACACTTGCTGCTTCCATGATTCCACTGCTATTGTGTCTTCCTATAATAATTGAGCTACACTGTGATTGTAATTCTAGCTAAAACAGATCTTTACGTCAATCAATACAAACCCGCGCGCGCGCACACACACACACGCACACACACACACACAACTTAGTTGGAATTTTTAGTGGAGCAGTTGAGCAATTAATCGTATTTAATGTTTTCATAGTTGTCCACAAAACAGCAGCCCTTCCAACACATCTCCACCACAACTATTTGTATTCAATAGGTCAAGATAAATGCAGCTACTGACGAAATTGACAAAGTAGCAAGTCGTGACAAAAGAATAAGCTACGTTTTCAGTAGAAATGACGATGATTTCACAGCCTAGCGAAGTTCATGCCTTTAAAAAATTGAAGATACAGAGCAGAGCGGACTTACGGTCATTCTAACATTACAAATTGCCCTAGATGAGGATCAGCCAGCACATGGAGCACGAGCAAAACATCAAGCAAAAGAAAGCACACCCCAGACCTGTATTGCACAAACACAAATATCCCTACAACAGTTTTCTTTCGCCAAATTTCTTTATAACTTGACAGAAAACTCAGTATCCAGCAACCGAATTGAATAAAGCTCCAATTTCAGAAGAGACTTCGACACATTTCCACCAATACGCCAACTTCTCTACATTTAAGACACGAAATCACTGCAGCACGCTTCCCACCCCCTCCTCCACACAACCGAGAATGAATCCTCGAAGAATGAGACATAACCCACAAAAATTCATGTAGAATGGAATCAGAAAAAAAAAAGTAACAACTAAACACGAGATTGTGAGGGAAAGGGATTGCATGGCATGTTCACCTAATCTTACAAGCCGCAAATTGAACGCGCAGGGTGATGGAAAATTTCTCTTCCACGCCACAGTCGCTTGTCTATAAACCTGTCAAGGGGAACATTCCGGTCCGAAGCGCTGAAGCGTGCCACATGAGACGCTGACAGCGTGTCTATTTCCCCGGAATGTGCAAGGCTGTGAACTGTTGCCCCTAGGGCTCCGTCTGCAACTTCACCGGACATAGCGGATGATTCTCATCATATCGTGGTCGTGCATTCAGCTGCACATGGTGAGTTGAGCACATCCACATCCACGGAAACTTTTTAAAAACTAAAACAGTTCAAGCTATTTATTTATTTATTTATTTATTTCATTCTGGTGCAACAGTTCGTCAACGTTTCGCAGTGTCTCAGGAACACGAAACGCAGCATAGGTAACAGGGTGTAGCCATGGGCAGTTCAGGCCACATGTTTTTGTAACGCAAAGAAGCTTCGGAGGATAATCACAAGATATGGTACTTACGGGATAAATACATTAACATGATCAGCAGCATCAATAATCTTTGTTAACGGCATTGGGACCTTTCTATGAGAGGCATCGAGCTTGAATATTGTTGCAGATTATTATTGCTTTGAAGAATCTCATATACAATTCCCAAGAAGACACTAATTTGTCGATTCAGCCCCAGAATCCTGTCAAAATCGATACATGTACAAATAGTGAAGGGGCAGAATGCAAATGTGTATCTGTGCAAGTAGATCTGGACAACTACATGTTTCAAACCAGTGAATACGATGGAAGATTAAAGATTGCTTAGAACTATGAACAATTGAATGTTTCGAAGAACATGTAGGAATTATGAGGATAGATGTTCAGAGTTACTGTTTAAAATGGATTCTGATTTCAACTCTTGCATTGAATATGAATAGTGCCACTGCTGTCTCACATTACTGCATTCGTGGCATTCAGAATCAACATATACATTCAAGAGAAAAGTAATTCACACACTCGCAAATGTCAGGTAAGCATTATGGCCATCTGAAGACGCTAGGGGTGCACCATCTGCTTTGCATTACCATGGTTGGTCTGAAGCAATTGTGGAGGAATCAGTGAAAACCCTAGTGTAATCGTTGTTGCCGGAAGCACTAGGCTAAAAATTATCTGCCCAAGCTCCACCAGAACAAGCGGGATACACCTGTTTGGTGAAGACTAGGCAGCAGTAAACTAAAAGTTGACCCAGACTTCCCTTACACTCCACATAGTTCTTCAACTGCTCAAAGAGTAACGAAAGTGAACTTAACAGATGTTAATGTTTTCATACCAGGACAATGTAAATACAAGGTTTTTCATGGAAATGGCGACGGCAGTGGGCACTGACTATGCACATGTCCAGCAGTCACTCTGTGACCAACATGAATCATACCAATATCATCAATGATCGCATTTTAACACGGAAAATGTTCATAATCGTTCAAATGGAGAGTTTATTTTATCATGCAAATGACGCACATGCGCAACAATGTCACAATTTCAAAGGCGGTTAATGTCTCTCCGAAAGCATCAGATAGCATGAATAGAGGGGGGACGCTCGTTTGTGTGCAGGCACAGCACACAAACGATCAAGCTGGAAGCCCATCATTTCCGGTGATCTCGTTTAGGTTCAGTGGAGCGACTCGTCGAGAAATATGCAACGAGAATCGCTCCAGGAAGCGCCACAAACTCAGCTGCGGACGCCAACCTTGCAAGTAAAGGCTGGACCATGTTGACTACCTTCAAACCCTGGGGTTTTCGAATCTCCACCAAATGTACTCAACGAAGAACTCCTGTAACCCTGCAAACAATCACAACATAAAGCACCGTTGAGCCTTTTCAGTCAAACAAACTAAGCCACACACCAAAACACTGAACACAGCAGGGGCTACGGCATCACCTCACAGCAACAATTCTGCAAATTTTGCCATTAGTAGACAAATTTCACATGTGCAAACAACCCTGGAAAGCAATCTGAATTTTCAACGCACGGTCATTGCACAACCATAGACGCCTAAAAAATCCCAAAAGAAAAATTTCATTCAAAGAAAAAACTAAAAACACACAATTAAGAAATCTCCGAGGCAACGCATCAGAATTATCTCTCCAGGAGCTGATCGAACATTGCACAATTACAATCAACAAGCGCCTGCCCTAATTCCTCTAAGGACAGTTCCCACACCAAAAAGACATTCCGGCCTTCCCATTCCACGCACCTGATCCGGCGACTAGCAACTTCCACAAAACACACACTCAAACGTGTTGAGGCCACCTCAAGACTGGAAGAGGTAAGTACTGGCACCGATTGCTCACTGCCGCGATGGAGCCTCCTGTGTTCAAGTTGGGTTTCGGTGGAAACAAGTGTATGGACTCAAAAAGATGATAGTCATCCCATCAACGAATATCGTCACGCGATAGAGCCAATCTCGGTGAAAAATGGGTGTGATGTGTTACGATGAATGCTAGCATTAACATCTTGCGATTGACCCGCTTCCGGAAAGCTGTCTTTCTCTCGTCTGCTTCCCCTACCCTCTCAAACTTTCTCTACTTTGCGAAGAAGAGATTTACTTCGCATGTGGTTGTTGAATGTAGGGAATTGCACATCTCTTACATGATACGAATTATGTTGAAATTCAGTATCGAGGTCTTGAGATAAATACCTAAATGCTTGCGGTATTTTTCTCTGACTGCGATGAAGCCGTTGGGATAAGTGCACCAATGGTCCTTGGAGATGCTTTTGGTGTCTAGATGTGTGTAAATTCCCCCCTTCAGTTTTATTTATTTTTGGATTAGAGAGGGAAGTTCAGGTTGCGATGAAAAGAATTGCAATCTTAGTTCAGAGACAGTGGGCATGGCGGCTTTCGAGCACTTTGCTGCAGCGTCGGGCCTTTTCTGACATTTCTGGTTCGGGCATTGCTCGGGGAAAGGATGAAGAGGTGACTAGGAAGGCTTTGGAAGCTGCTGCTCGCGAAGATCGGTTGGATTTTCAAACTGCTGCTCGCCTCCTCATGTCATCGCCTGCGGATGAGCGCAAATTCGGGTAATATTTCTACATACCTACTACTCCGTCAATTTCAGAATTGATCAACTTCATATTCGACCTATACTCTCTTACACAATTTCGCACAATCATTTGTAAATCTATTAATCGCTGGAGTTGCAATTTTTCCAAACTCAGGGTTTAGGGTTTATGAGTCGATTCTGTAGTCACGCATGACCTCCACATTTGGTTTTACAAATAATTTAATGTTTAAGAACTGTCCGAGTGAACATTTTTAAGCTCCTCCTTTCCCTGTATTGTCCTCTTTTCCACAATGATCCAGTGTGCTTTCTTTGCTTTTGGGTCATGCAGTTTTGGTTACGCATTCCTATTTCAATTGGAACTACACGTGATTTATTTATTTATTTATTTATTTCCCCCCCCCCCCATTTTGAGTGGAATGGGAGACTTAGTTTTTATTCTACTTTCTTAATTTTAGCGTGATGTATGCGGCTTCTCAAGAACATCTGGAGCTGCCTAAGTATATCCTGTATGTAATATTATTCCATAGGGTCTTTTGCACGCCCTTTCTGGAGTTTCAGTGATTTGTTTTTGCTAGACGTTCAGCTTCTAATTTTATTGTTCAATCGTGAATGTGTTGCTCCTTCGTGTTACGCGTTTCCTTGTGAACTTTCATCTTAGACTGCATTGGCGCTTGCTTGCACAGACAAAGATTGAGCAGTTGTAGCATGAAAGTGGAAATTGGGGAGACAGAATTAAGAGGTTTCATGTTTGTGGGTCTGGTCAGGTGGGATTTTCATCTCGTGCAATTCTTTTTTGCTTGTTTGCCGCCTTTAGGTAATTTTCATCTTTCACTTCCCCTTAGTGTACGCATATCACGTTATAGGCGTCATGGATTCACATGTAGGTTGAACTTTTTCCCCCGTTGTCTGTTTTACACCGTACAAAGTGGTCTCTAATTGATGACGTTCAAAGATTTTGGTTAAGAATTTTTTATGATCATTAACTGTACTTTTTGTGGTATACATGATTTGTGTATATCACTCTTTTAATTACTGCATGCAAGGTGTTGTTCGTCTGAATGGTTAGATCTGTAAAATTTTGCCTGAAGAATCCCACAAACCGAATGCTTATTAACATTGTCATTCTAATGTGTGCAGCTGTCTATGCTTTCGCACAATACTCTCGCTACGATCAGCGTCAAATGCTGAAGGTGATTGCTCATTTTTCTTGCCAGATTACTGAAGGCTGTTCAGTTCCGGACAGTTTCCAGTTAACGAGGATGGTCTTTTCTTTTTTTCTTTTTTTGTTGATTTATTAATTAATTATCCTTTTGTGTGTTGGTTACAGTTCTTGTGACGAGGCTTAGAATAATTGCTCTGGATGCAGGAACGAGATACTAAAATTGAGAAGCTAGTTGAAGCGGAGTTAGAGATTGAGGTAGGTGTAGAGCTTGAAGAAGTCTCGGCTATGCTTAATTCAAGAAATCCAGATCTGGAAGCGTTAAAGCTGCGTCTTGAGGCTCTGGAGGAAAAATTGTTGCAATTGGAGCCAGCGCTCAAACAAAATGGGAATCTTCCGCCGAAGACAACAGACGCTGCTGCCGTTCCCCAGGAAAATAGTACCCATGTTTCGCAACAGGTTGTTATTCATAAACCTTTCTTGCTTTCTTCAAACAAGTAGAATAGCGAGTCAATTTTTTAAAAGATAAAAGGTTGAAGTCTTGAGTCAGTCCTACATTTAACGCTTGCTATATTGTAATGTAAACTTCTCCGGATCTTGGAACTTGCATAGAATCTTTCAAATGAATCCTTTTGTCTTGTGTGTACTTTGATTGAGAGTCGGTTGGCTGTTCAGTTTCTGATCGGATCAGTCTTTATGCCTTGGAACGTCACTTTCCATCAAACAGGAAATACGCATTTGTGACTCATATTCCTGTGCCTTTATAGCTGTAGCGATTCTGGTTACATTTATGATGTTATGGTGACAAATTTGTGCAGGGAACGAATCAACAAAAACCAAAACTAGAAGTTTCCGAACTTGATACTCGTGGGTGCACCAGCACTGAGTCGAAGGGAGAAAGCAGAGCTAGAGGATACTGGACATGGTTCATAGGAAAGAGAGGAGCAGTCTCTAGTGATGTCCCTGCCAAAGAGCAATAATGGAAATTGTCCAAATCGGCAGCCACACCCAGTGTTTGGAAAAATTTAAATGAACTTATCAGTTGTACTTAAATATTAGATTTCTGGGTCATGTCCACAGCAACAATAATTTACCATGGCGTTGAGACCAATGCTCCTCTAACTTTGGTCGACTTTACGGGAATGTCTCTAGTTTTAAACAGTCCAGAGCTTTGAAGTTGACGAACATCAACGTATCAAATGAATAAGTCGAATGAAACCTTCATGTGATATTGGTGCTTATTTTTTCACATTACAGTAGTGTAGATAGCGTATTGCTTCGAATACAACAGCACATTAGCATTGAGAGGCTGAGTCTGAGTGCTAACCTTGCCTGTGTCTCGGTATGTTCCTGATTAAGATTACCGTGTAATCGTGGATCTCAATTAATAGAGTCGATGCTCCAATGGCTTATATTTAAGTACCACACTTAGAAATTTGCAGATTGAGGTCGAAGTATTGTTTATTGTCAGCATTGTTCTGAGTCGAGGCTGGAGAGGTCATGATAAATCATTCCTGTTACCTGGAGGTGTTCAAGTCTCTTTTAATTCCCATTTCTGATGTAATTGAAAACCTCACAGATTTCATTTATCAAAAGTCTTCCTCAAAATCCTAGTGGACCTGCGTATGAATGTGGGCTAGGAGATGAAGCCTACAGGATGTGATCTAAAAGGGATTTTTCGTTCAGCTCTACATCTGGGTCTTCCTAATGCAACAATTTGGCAACATTGCTTCATGACGTGAGGGCCTACACACATGCGTAACGAAGGCATTGCATACCTTCTAAATGCTAATTCCTAAATCTTCTACATTGGTCTTAGACCATATTAATCATTAATTAACTCCATGATCATTCCTCTCTATCTATGTTCATTTGGCAACTAAATGCTATATAATTGATGCTTTGATCACGATTCCTGCCAAAAAACCCCTTGCAAAGAAATCGACAAATGACCTGAAACAACATTGCTTCCACAGCGTCCTTAATCAATCACTTCGCCAATCTTATAAATCTATTCAGCCACAATTGGCTGCTTTTCTCCCGGCACCTAACTAAACCGTCCTTTCTAGTGAAGTACATCGAAACCGCATAATTAGCTCGGCTCAACAGCACAGTTCGGGCCAGGTTGTTGTTCACAGTGACTGCACGTATGGGATTCAAGTGGGTTGGCTTCCCCCACTAGAACACAGAATCACATATATCTCATCCTTATCCTAGTTGGTATCAGTGGCAGCCACTGCCTGGTCTTCTGAAAGCGGTGGGTACCGCGGCACTTTTGATGCGGTATTACATGCAACCCATTTGCATTCCTTCTGGAAGGACATGATTCGGCTCTCAACTCTCCGGCTTGTGCTAGCAGGAAAGGGTTGTGGTAGGTTGCAGGCACCCCAAGGATCGATCATACAGAGAGAGCAGGATCTATTGTAATCACGTGGCACGCGGCATTTGATTGTCTACATGCAGTTCATTGCTTCGTCCCACGCTGAAGACGGCGACCTTCCGAGTACTAGAAGTCGGCCGAAGGTGTCTCAGTTTCAACACGGCATTGCAATCATGTAGGCAGCGGCTGATGCTTTGCAATTCCTCGGTACTTCTGGCAGAGAAGTCATCGTTGCTACGAATTCGAGAAGCACAAGGGATTCTTACCCATCGATTCAAGACAACACAACACACATCCACAGTCTTTGTCCATTTTGTGGTCTCAAACAACGAGGTTTACTAGCAAATTGCTTGTTTCTGCAACCACCTGTTTGATCTTAAGCAAATTGGCGCATGGTTTTAAGACGTTTATTCAGGAAAAGACACACAAAAAAACAGAAAAAAGACAAAACTCACGGCTACAGATTTTGTTTAATTTTGATATTTGGAACCGATTATTAGAAGATAAATAGATCTTACTTGAGGGGAAAATAAAATCAGAGAACTCGTGTTTCCTTGAAGTGTGCGGAATAACAATTGTGAACACATTTAAGAAGATAAGAAAAGGAGTTGATGTTGGGGTTTTAAAAAGATGGTGATTCAGACAACATCCATTAAAAATTTGATATTGATTTTAAAATCTTCATTTCTTGTTTAGATGGCATGAGGGAAGTACAGACATTTCGTTTTTGCATTAAATTTTTTAGAACAGTTAGGTGGACATTTCCCGTTTAATTGCATGGACATTCCATTTTTTCTTGCATGGAGACCCCCTTTCATTACATAAACACCCTCTTTTTTATTGCATGGACACCCCCTTCTTATTGTGCCACACATCCCTGCATACACACAATATTTTTTTTATTTACACTAAAATATTTTACCGTAAGTTTACAATAGAAGATTTGTGTGCAATTGCTTATGGTATTTTTTTATACTTTTTAAAACTTATTATGATTAAATTTAAGAAAATTTCATAATACACTTCATGCGATTCTTTCAATCACTTTAATACACTTATTGATTTCATGTAAAAAAAATTTATTATAAATTTACACTAAAATATAAAAAATATTATAAGTGAAAGGTTTCTATCTAATGATTCTCTCATTTTTTATTAAAAAAACATGCAATTTTATTTTTAAAAAATATTCACTTAATTTTATTTATATGAAATAGTATATCATGTCAACCATGATATACAATTCTATGCTATTCAATCCAAATAACTATTAGAAACTCTTATAAAAATCCATTTGTTCTTACAAAAATTTGTCAAATTAGTTTTAATTGTACATTATTTGTCAAATTTATAATTTTTTGTTTTGTTTTTAAGTTTAGAAAACCTTCTAAGCTTCAAACCCCCCAATTTTGCTTCCTCCACCCATTTATCCCTTTTCTTCCAATATTTTAGTTCAAAAAGACTTGTGTGCCTGATTTCTACCTCAACTTGCTGTTGCAAAGGGGGAGCCTCTCTCGCTCTCTAAGTCAAGCATAAAGCACCGACATGAGAGCTCGCCCCTGCTTGCTACGTTGGGTGGCTATGAACAAGAAAAACCTTCACACAACGCAGGGCCTCGCATTCAGTGGCCCTGCAACGCCTTTCCTGCATTATTCAGTGCTCCATCGTCACTCTGTCAGAGTGTGAGATAATTTGCACTGTACTGCTGGTTCCCTTGTCCATAGTCATACTACCAATTCCCCCGGCCACGGCATCCTATATGAACCACCATTCGAGACAGCTGACTGTGCTGTTCATAACTTGCCGCTGCGCTTCGCCACTAGTCAGACCGCCAGCTACAATCTGTCAACTCGTTTGTACTCATGTATTGCAGAAGATTTTTCGTAACGAGCTGGTTGTGAATTTAGTGGTGCCAATGTTAAAAGTGATGTGCTGGTGGGTGTTGTTTGAACAAGATTGGTATCACGTCTTTGGTTTGATTCAAGGTTAAAATTACTAACCTGCACAAATGGCTGGATCAGTGCCTGCTTATCTCACTAATCTCTCTCTTTCTGCATGTATGTGAGATTTTGTTACAATGTAACGTTACATTATGTGTGTATTGATGTCGATGTTAACAGATTCATTTTGCATTTTTGATATTTTTATTAAGGAATTCATAGTAATTGAATTATGATCTTTTTCATCCAATGATATGTCACACTTTCAGATACTGTTTTCCAGAATTGAATAATTTTTAATTAGAAAAGGATAGTTTTAATGAGAGTCTAATAACTAAAATAGCATACCACTACAAATGGGTGCTAAAATTGATAACTATTTTGCATGGATTTATATTACGACTTTGAAGGAAAACTTGAGTTGAATAAAGAAAGTTGAAGACAAGGCATAAATTGGCAAAAAAGAAAAAAAGAAAAAAAAAATAAGAAGAAGAAGAAGAAGAGATCAAGAATATCTTATTTCAAATAGGTTTCTGTTTTCAAGTCTTTTGAAACACATGTTTGGGTCATTTAGTAGTGATCCTAAATTTTTTTAATGTTTGTCAATAATTATATGTTCATGTCATTTTATTGTTTATCTTCAAAACAATTCATTCTATATTGAAAAGGATTATCAACGTAATGATCAAATCTTTTACCACAGAGGGCTACAGAGAAATGTGACAAGCGCGCAGAAATGGAAGTGACGGTGCAGTATGTCTCCACTCCTTATTTCTTCTGAAGGACTACAAGACTTTCTCTGCGCTGTGCACAAACCTTGTTCACATTTATGCATACCCAGCAACAGAGACGCAATTCATAATGTAACTGCGAGTCAGTCTTGTATAAAATTCATGTTTTCCAACCATCCTGATTTTGGTAGAGGTAGTTAACACTACTATCGTATTGTACCTTGAGGCGATTCATTGCTCCGGACTGCAATGAGAAGATAATGTCATAAGAGCTGTACATGTCAGATGTCACTAGTGTTTAACCCACACAAACGAATTACTCGGTGCCTCTTGGCCCAGCCATCCATTTTCAGGAACGAGGGTTATCACATGACAGTCCAGCATGCGCGACAATGATATCTGAGGTGTGCTATACAAGTACATCTGACTTGAGCACATTTTCGTCAGCCAAAACATTTCGTTTCATCGTTCGTCGAATAAGGTAAAGCAGAAGACGATCCCAAGTCGTCGAAGCTAATATAGTTGATCTCAAAATCATCCCATAATAATGGAAAGACTTTTCATCTGCTGTGCACGTGGTATTCGAAGCGCAAATGATCGCGTGTGAAGTTTTTGATGTCTTACCAGTTATTTTATGAATTCGAAAGGAGTATGAGATGTTTTCAGTTGTGGCAGCTTCGGAGGTAGCAGCAGGCCACACTTGTGCTTCCCAGACCAATAACCACATCGGCCTCTCTTTGGAAGTACGCATTTCGTCTATCATGAGAGACCGAATCACCCTACCTCTCATTATAGGTGCGACAAAGCACCTGCAAACACCTGATAGAAGTATATTAACTGCACGTCCCTTCCACCGGTTCTCAATCCTTCTACGACCTTAGGAAGGTGCCACGCAACGACAGTTCATAGTGACGAGGATACATGAAGCTGCTCGATCCGCTATCAATCTGCACACACTCGGGAGTGATTCAATCAGGTGCTCGCTGTGACAGTACTACACGGAGCTTACAGTCTGCTCATAATTCCAGACCGGTATTAGGTCGGTCCTGTGTCACGCAAAATCGTTAGAATCATAGCTTAATTCCCTTAAAGAATGCGATCCACGAGCGACTGCCTCGATCTAGACATGCACAATTGACATGCAGATCAACAGTAACTGGTAGTTTTTGATCGATTACGTATGAAAACCTTACCATAGTACAGGCGGGGGCTATCAGTCTTTTAACATCTGAATAGCGAAGAGGAGTTGGAGGGGATTTTGTTTGCACTTTAGAGCATTGATAAGAGTTGTGCTGAACATTGAGGATGATCGGGGAGTTCTGAGTTCTCTACTCACTTTTGAAATTGAGAAGTGGACGGTGGCGATGGGGACGATGCACGCGCTAACCAGTCTGCTAAACGCATTACTGAGGATAATGGAGGCGGATCACAACCGTGCCAGCGACTCCTTACTAATTCTTTGCGTTGTCACCTTTCTTTCGATGACACTCCTTCTGGGCTACCTCGGCAACGTGCTGGGCAAAGAAATCAAACCAAAGCTACCTCCAAGTCCTCCCCAGTGGCCTGTCCTCGGAAACTTGCCTCATATCATGAGAAAGAGTGCTGCACTACACACGACGCTGCGGCTTCTGGGGAAGAAGCTGGGGCCAATCTACACACTATGGCTGGGAAGGTCCTTCCCCCTGGTGATTGTGACTGGCGAAGAAACTGCTCGGGAAGCGTTTGTCGACCAAGGTCACATCTTCTCGGCACGCCCGACGTTGATCTCGTGGCAGTATATTAGCTCGGGCTACAGGACTACGATGACGACGCCCGCAGGAGCACACTGGCAGAAGCTTCGAAAAATCATTAGCCACCACTTGATCAGCCCTACCAATTTGGCCCGCTACATACCGGTTCGCGACAGCGAGATCCAAAAACTCCTGGAAAGATTCCGCGATCAATCCAGGGAAAATGAAGGTGTCGTGCATCCTCTACAACAGTTACGCATAAGCGCGGTGGACATCATCATGCGAATTGCTTTTGGAGACGAATTCGCAACTTTAGATAATGAAGGCCGAAAAGGCAATGCCGTAGTGTTGGACAGGCTCTTCCAGGAGATCATGGACGCGGGATCCATCTTCCAAATCGCATTAGACTCGTCGCCTTTAACAAGAACCTTGCTGTTTTCTGCTTCTCGGAAATGTTACAGTAATATAAGAACAATCGCTGGTCAGATCACGGACCTTGTCATGCCTATCGTCATGGAAAGAAAGAGACTTCTCAAGGAGAGGCCGCTGACGGAGGTCAAAACATTTGTGGATAGCTTGATAATGCTGAAAGGTGATGACGCGCTGACGGACATGGAGATTGTGTGGAATGTGGTGGAGCTCATGGTCGGTGCGACGGACAACACATCGCATATCCTAGAGTGGATTTTTGCAAACATGATCACATATCCGCACGTCCAGCAGAAAGCTTACGAGGAGGTGAAGCGAGCCATGGGCCCAAATCTCGACAGAGGTCTCGTTCAAGAGAACCACATTCCAAATCTGCCCTACATTCAAGCGATCGTGAAAGAGTCCATGCGCAGACACATGATGGCGGTACTAGCGATTCCGAGAATAGCCTCCCGCGACTGCAAGCTCCGCGGATACGACATCCCGAAGGGAACCATGGTGGTACTACACGCCGGAGCTTTAGCACTGAATGAAGAGATCTGGTCCGATCCACTAGAATTCAGACCAGAGAGGTTTCTGAACTTGGATAATGAGGCTACCCACATGCACAAAATGGCGTTTCTTCCGTTCGGCGTCGGGCGGAGATCATGCCCCGGAGCTAGCATGGGCCTCCTGCACTTGCACATGCTGCTTGCCAATCTGATCTACAGATTCGAATGGGGTCCAGAGTCTCCAGGCCAGCCTGTGGATTTCTCCGAAAAGTTTCGGATGGTGGTCACCATGAAATCACGTCTGCGTGCAACCATCACGGAGAGATCTCCTGTCTAGAATTGTGCTTCTACTGCTTTCTGGCTATCAACTTCCAGCCCGGAAGCCTTAAAGCTTCACTTGGGGTCTTCGACTTCGATGCCATGCTCTTTTTTATATTCATTTGGGAAAGGCTCAGGAAAAATTAATTAGAACATGCGGATCTTCCTTTAGCTACATTCTGTGGAGCCGGGCTTAGAAAAAGCCCGTGAAAAACAAGACTGATCAGGAGTGATCAGTTGTTGGTGCACCTGGCCAAGTGAGGCGACTAGTACGCAAAAAATATCTCTCGCATTTAAGATGGCTCTGCGGATATGAAATTGGACAGTCCTGTCTGAATTCATTCCTGCAGCATTAGATTTAAGCTTTGTTTGTGTGATGAAATGCATCAATTTTGCGGATTGTACCAACCTGTACTGTTGCATCCATGAATTGGATTTTTTTTTTTTTTTTTTTTTTTTTTTTTCGCGGCTGATAAGGTGCATACTCTGTAACCTGAGATTGTCTAATAGTATCAACAACAACTAATTTATGGTTAATAAATCAACTCTGTACTATTTATTATACATATTATTATAGTATGGTGGGTACTTCCACACCCAAATGGATATTACAACATTTACATAGGCTTTAAATCCTCTTATTTATTTTTTTAATATTTTGAACCTTAAGAAGTCATGCCTCCTTGGTTTTAGATTGTAAAATTACATGAGGTGAACGTTACTCAAAGGTCCATTTTAGAGCTCAAGGATAGGATATGAGATATGGACATTAGAGAGCTGATGCTTCTTCTACCCAATAAGACTGTTTTTTACTAACGTATATATATATATATATATATATATATTTAATTTTAGGATTTTTTAAAAACATATGCTATTATTTATTTTTAAAATTATAAAAAATTTAAGGTCTTATATTAACTAATTTTTTTGAGTCAATAAAATGGTTTCAACAAAATTTATGGTCAAATCATATATTTTTTTTATTAAGACCTTGGTGTTACATACATGTTACATAGCAAATATAAAGAATAAATTATCATATATAGATTTTATGCCTACTAAAAGAATATCTCTATTTGTTGAAGCAAAGATAATTATATAAGCTAGAAAAGAAAGTGATTTGTTTGTCATCTATATAGCACCAAGTGCTCATTCAAACAAAGGTTGTAGCCAAGCCTCCCAGTAATATAAAAAAATATCAAGATGTATGCAAGAAAAAGAATACTAGTATTCTGCATGAACACTAACCTTGCGGTTACACAATTGACCTCCAAGAATGAGTTCAACAACCATATGTACCAATTTATAACTTATTTTGAAACAAATTAATTACCTCCAAAAATTATATTGAGGAAAATTACAAAATATTCTTATTCAACATTCCAAACTAACTTGCACACACAAATTAAAGTAGAATATAGATCTAAAAGTAGTATTTTAATATTTAAGAATAGTATTTATATTTTTTCTTATTATTTATTATCTAAAAAAATTATATTCATAATATACAAAAAAAAAGTGCATTAAAATTTGTATTTGGTGTAATTTTAATACAAAAAAATATAAGTATTATACTTAATTATATTATTACTTTCCTGTAGATAAATTTAAGAGTAGAGAAATAAATTATAGAACCTACAACAAATAACTTCTTACTATCAAGGTTTAATACCAAGAATTGCATCATTATTTAAATCCACTTTCAATCTGATTAAAGTTTATGTTGATTAAAAGAAATTTCAAGTGTTTATTATTATTTAATATTTTGAACTTTTAACAAGAAAATTAGAGCATGTATTACTTATAATTTTTAATTGATTTTACATATTTTTTAAAAAACAAAAAAGACAAATAAGATGCCCTATCAAATATTCCTACATTAGATTAAAAAAAGATATGCTATACATAAGTAGTAACAAAATATAATAGTATATTTTAAAAAATATATTATATTCATTATAATATTACTCTTTAAGTAAAAAATAATTGTATTTACAAAAAATCATAGTATATAAAATAATTATATTTATTACACACACACACACACACACATATATATATATATATATATATACACACACAAACAATTATAATTATTGCAATTATTTTTATTTACTCTTTGTTGATATGTATCATAGTTATTTACCACATTATTTTTTTAATTGAGGTTAGAGCTTAATATTTTCATGCTCTATATTTTTATCTTCCACAAATATTTTCTTTCTTTTTAAGTCATATTATTCTTAAAACTAGTTAATTTACTATATTAGTTTTGTTTTACTTTATTTCATTAAGTTTTTCTGATTTTCTCTAATAAACACTACTATTTTTTTAAGTCTTTTGATTTCAATAATAAAAATAATTGATAATATTGAATAGTAATAGGTTTACTATTAGAAGTAAGTAGTTTTGTGGTAGAAACTGAAGACAAGATATTAAATAGTTGCAATCATAGATATATTCTTATTTCATCTAGTAGATATTTAAAATTCATAGAAAAGATAAGAACGAGATAGAAATAAAGAAATACATAGAGGTTTAAGATTAAATTCAAAAAACATATTTATGAAATGATTTATCTTAAATTATGTTCTATAGATTTTTTATATACAAAAGATTAATTAAATTTTTTATAATAAAATTAATTATGATTTTAAATTCTAAAAGCATAATAAAAAAATATATTTTTTAATTATTGAAGTATTTACCTTCTTATTTATAGAATTTGTTTCAACTTTTATTGATGTCAAATAATTTGTTGTTTTTTATGTATCTATTTCATATAATTGTGTTATATTAAATTTGAAAGGAATTTAGAAAATAATAAAAATACATGCATTAAAAAAAATTAGACTATCTAAAATTAAATGTTAGAAATATCTTAATATTTTTTAAAAATAATATGTTATACTAATATATAATATTATTAAAACAATCTATGTGTATTGTAATGATAGATGACTATAGTTAAGTTTTTAATTTATTTTATTATTGAAATAAACCCATTTTGTGTATTAATGATAGCATACATATAAGAAGCTATAATTGAAAAATTATATTTTTATTAATATTCCTAAAAGTTCATGTTTTAATATCAATATGATTGTTATTATACTATTACTTTGCAATAATCAATTCAATGTATCTATCAAAGGACATGAATCTCGAAGAAAGAAAATCTTCAATATACTCTTGTATCACTAGAAGGAATTAGAATATCACTCAAAGATGATATAATATTGAATTAAAATGGCTATTGCAAAAAACAAGAAGATTAGAAAGTCTTGAAATAAGACTAAGGATTGGAAAGGCGTTGATAAGAGTGAAGAAGGCTTCACTCTTGCCTCCATATCTACTCTCCAACTAAGAGCTATGTGGCGATATTCTATAGGACCTCTAACATGTGTTGACTTTGTTAACTACATGTCTTAACTTGCAAGGCAAGTTATATATGTATGCGCCACATAGTTAGTTTGTTCTACAAGCTACTATATGAAGTTAATTTGTTCTCCAAGCTACCAACAAGTGGTCAACTTGTTGGATAAGTTTCTAACCTACAAACACATCTAAAGTAAAAATCATATCTATGAAGCTTCTAAAAAGTTTTTTTAGAAGACTTTATAAAATTAATTTATATTTACCTACTTCTACCTAATCATATAAGTAACTATTGAGATAAATATACATATCTGTGACATTACACCTCCTTATAGGGACGAGTTCCACCATGAGCAATCATCATCTTTCATGGATCTTTGCAGTTCTTCATCTTGTTTTTGATGGATGTTGTCAATAAAAGGCCTCAACCTTCTTTGTTGCATTTGGAAGATTTTTTGTTGGCTCCTATGTACGTTTGCTAAGATCACATTCATGCTAATGAATAAGATATTTCAATCTATTTTGGCACCGTTTCAAATCTAAGACTTCTTCTACATCACATTTTTTTATTATTATCCACTTTTATAGGAGGAGGTGGTATTTATCTTCTTTTCGAAGTAATCATTGTCTTGTACACCTCAAGAACGGACACAAGAAATATATGATGTATCTTCATAGACTTTGATAAATGAAATTGATAAGCAATATCATTGATTTGTTTTCAAATAGTAAAAAGTCTCAAGCTACAATAGTCCAACTTGTTACAAAGACAAGTAGTCTTGATATTATGACAAAGTAACTATACCTTGTCACCCATATTGAATTGTAGTTATTCCTTGCGATAGGCATCCGCATTGATTTTTTGTTGTTCTTGAGCTTCCTTTAATTGTGTGTTCATTGTGGCATGTTGCTCTGACAAATGATTTGCTAAATCTTTTGCCATAAGATTATCAATTTTTGAAAAGTCAAAAGTATCAAATTGTGGATGGTAATGATAATTGGCAAAAAAAAAATTTTGTTGAATAGAAGAATGTATCAAATTATTATATGCAAATTTTACCAATAGCAAAAGAATTGTCTAATCGTCTTGATGATAATTGATGTTAATTGATGATACAACTCAATTGATACTCTAAAACTTGATTCATCTATTCCATTTGTTTATCAGTTTGAGGATGAAAAGCCAAAGAGAGCTTTATATCCACCTTCAGAATTTTAAATATGGTTTTTTAAAATCTTAATACAAATTGAGTCTTCCTATCTGATATAATATCCTTTGGCAATCCATGATAGCAATAGATATTGCTAATAAAAAGCTCAGTTGTTTCTTCACCTGAAATAGATTTTGTATATAGTATTATAATATGTCATTTTAATGAACTGATCTACAATTACAAATATAAAATTGAATGAACTTGAACTTGAAAGATCTGTAATAAAATCCATAGAAATAGAAGACCATGGTTATTTGCATATAGGCAATGATTGAAAAAGTCCATAGGGTTGATGAGAAGAAGTTTTTGATCTTGAATAAATGTCATATGACTAGACAAAGTCTTTTACTACCTTTTACATTTGCGTCCACAAAAAATCTCTGCATATAAGCTTTAAAGTCTTATTGTGTCCAAAATATCTTGTTGTTGGAAAGTCATGATGTACTTGAAAAACATGTTAAGGTGTCTCTCCTTCTGGAACATATAGGCATCCTTTGAAGTAGAGTAGATTATTTTTGAACTCAAACCTTGAAATGTCATGAGACTTAGAAGAAAGATTCTTGATATTATGAATAAGAGGATCAAAGGACATATTTGATTAAATTTATTTCACAAAAGTTGAATCAATAGCCAATATTGATTTTATTCCTCAAAGATGAAAATACTTTGGCTTCAAGAAGATTGTTCTTTGCTGATCAAAAGATATGTCTTCTTCTTTTGATACAAGATAAGAGCGTCTAAAAAAGACATCTGATATATCTTGTTATTTTTTAGATCAATATGTAATCTTAAAATCAAATCTTGATGATGACATGCTCTAACAGACCTGGCAATGATTCAAAATACATGCCGACATGAAATACTTGAGATTCTTGTAATAAATATATACTGTGATTGGACTTGAAGTATCTTCTAAATAATGATGTCATTTCTTAAATGAATCTATAATTGCAAGAAGTTTTTTGTCATGGATTTCATAGTTAATCTTGGCTGCTAAAATTTTTTTAGAATAAAAAGCTACTGAATGGAATTTGTCATTTATTTTCATTTGAGACAATACTACATTCAAGGCAAAGTTTGATGCATCTCTTTCCATAAATAATGCCTTCGAAAAGTTAATGCAATATAAAGTTAATGCAGAAGTGATACTTTGGCTTCTTTATTCCACTCAAGTTTGTCTTTACAAGTCAAACGTGTAAGTAGAGCTACAACTTGAGAAAAGTTCTTGATAAAGATTTGATAATAATTCGCAAAGCCCAAAAAGCATTGCACATCTCTTACTGTTCTTGGAATCTTACAATCTATGATAGTTTGGACTTTCTTTGGATCTATCATAAGGCCTTCATTGGAAGTGATGTATCCCAAAAAGTCAACTCGAGTAGTGCGAAATATACACTTTTTCATCTTTGTATATAATCTTGCATCTCTTAATTTTTATAATACATGATGATCATGAACTTCATGTTTTTTTGTGTTCTTAAAATAGATTCAAATATTGTCCAAATAACAAACAATAAAATCATCAAAAAATTCACAAAAGACATCATTCATTAGATGTTGAAAAGCAGGTGATGAATTTGTGAGTTCAAAAGGCATGAAATTATATTCAAAATGTCCATACCTAGTTCGAAAAGCAATCTTTCATTCATCTCCTTTTTTGATGCGAACTAAGTTATATGCTCTTCATAGATCTATTTTTGTATAGATATTTGCATGATTTAGTTGATCAAGAAATCTTGAAATCAAAGGTAGAGAATACCTATTTTTGATGGTGATCTTATTAAGTCTTTGATAATCTACACACATCTATAGAGATTCATCTTTTTTCTTCACAAATAAGATAGGAACACTGGGTAGAGATTTAAAATGGCATATAAAGTTCTTAGTCAAGAAGATCTTTATTATCTATTCAACCAAGAAGATCCACAAGATCATTGTAAGAAAAATTACTTGATAAATATTATGATTATGTTTTATTCACAAAAAACTTATCTATTTTACATAGTTTTGATGAACCTTCTATAATTACAAAAGCTTTAAATGATAAAGATATTATGAAGTAAATGATGCATTAGATTTTAAATATGGTTTTTCAATTAAAAATAATACATGGACTTTGGAGGATCTTTCTTTTGAATACTTTGTAGTAAGTTGTAATTGGATTTTTTAAAAAATATATATATATATATATATATAATGTTGATAGAATAGTCACTAGTTATAAAGCTTTATCTGTTACTAAGGATTTTTCATAAGAAAAAGGTCTTGACTATTAGAGACACTTTTTTCTTGTCCTAAAAATGAATTTATTATGTATTTTAATATTCTTAGTTACAATTTATGATCTTCATGTTCATTAAATGGATGTTAAGATCACATTTCTAAATGGTAACTTGAATGAATTCTTTTTGTAGTTCAACCTAAAGATGAAATATATTCTAATATATATATTTTAAAAAAACTAATGTATCAAAAAAATTCATATTGGCATTATATGTAGATAATTCTATTATTATTAGTAATCATATATAATTCTCAAATACTAACAAGAGACTTTTAGCAAGTTGCTTTGGTATGATAGTTGAACGCAATAAATTTAACAAATCTATTATTTTATTACAAATTCAATATATAACTAGAATTTTTATGATATTTAATTTATATAAATTTGTCTCAATCTTTTTTGAAGTAAGTTTAAGATTAACTAAAGATATGAATTCAATTGATCATAAAAATATTGAGACAATAAAAGATATTCTATATTCATTTGCCTATCAAGGGCATAAATCACAAAGAACCAAAAGATCAATATATTCTTGTGTTACAACAAAAGATTACATGTTCATTTAAAGATGATATAATATTAAATTAAATGGCTATTGCCAAAGATAAAAATTCTTGAAATAAGAGTAAGAATAAAAAAAATATTGATAAGAATGAGGATGCTCTTATTTTTTTTCTATACATACTATCTAATTAAGAGCTACATGGCAATGTTGTATAAGACCTTTGACTTGTATCTAACTTGCAAGACATATGTCAAACTTGTAAGATAAGATTTCTACAAGTGTGCTACATAGCCAACTTTTACTACAAATTATCAACATGTGTGACACGTAGTCAATTTATTTGCTAAGTTTTCAATCCACCAATTACCTAAAAATATGTAAAATGTCAAATCCATATCTATGAAGCTTCTAAAAACTTGTTCTATAAGATATTATCAAATTTATTTGCTTTTACTTACATCTAACTAATTCTTTTAATCTAAATAAATATGTATATCCATTATACTATCTTAGAGTATTTAATGCATGTCATGATCTATATTAAGCCTAATATTACTTTTTTTATTGGCCAAGTTACCAAGTTTATGGCTAATTCAAGTCAAACACATTAGTTTATATCAGAACATATAATAAGATATCTTAAATGTAATTTAAATAATATTTTTTTAATCAAAGTAAAAAAAGTTCTATTAATTATCAATATGAAGCTGAAGATTTGAATGATAGTGATTGGACATGTGATGAAGAATCCTAAAGATTTACTTCTAGTTATGTGTTTCATTTGTCAGTGGAACTATTTCTTGGCATAATCAAAGACTTCATATTGTAGTATTTTCTTCTATTGAAGCAAAAAAAAAAAAAAAAAAAAAAAAAAAAGTTTTTGCTTCAGTGACAAAAGAAATTACTTGGATTAAATAATCAATTAAAGAGACAGCCTATCACCAATCATATATCTTATTTTTATATTGTGATAATCAATTTCCAATCGTTTTGTCTATAAATCCGCACTATTATTATGATCAATCAATACAAATTGTTATAAGATTTCATTATCTTAGAAGAAAGATTGAACATGGCAATATTAATGTACTATTCTATCCAATTGAAGATATGGTGGCAGATGCTTGGACAGAAGCTTAAAAGCTTTAGCATGACCTATACATTTAAAATATCTAAATAGACATAAAGACAAAAAATAGTGGATAATCTAATTGCAGATTAAGGGTTAAAAAGTAATTGTTACATTTACATACTTAGAACATATCCTTTCATAATTATGTTCCTTAATTATTCAGGTTGTCATCAACCTTTGTAATACACACCTTACAAGAAGTAAAAAAAATGGATTATTGGTGTTCTACTTTCTTCTTTCTCTCCTTTCAACAAAATGCATTCACTGCTACAAAATAATGTGAGGTCGACAAATTGATACAAATGAATCCCCTTTTCTGAGGTTCAAGCTGCTTGCACTTAACATCAATCCTTGGTGCTTGGTCGGAAGAGTTGAATCCCTAGGGTGCCGCCACTTTGGCAGGTTGGCCGTAGTGTTCGGCTAAGCGGGTCTTGAGCTCCTCTACCTTGGCGCCAGTGTGGGAGTGGACCAGTACTTTGTTCTTATAGAATCTGAAGTTGGGCACTGCTCGCACTCCCCACTTGCGCATCAGAGCCTGCACCAATCCATTCTCGAGGTGAGGAAAAATGTTGTACATAACTGTGATTGAAGAAAGAATGAGACAAGATGCTGAGGATATTTCAACCTGCCTAATCTGCAGTGAAATGAAGAAGTTCACAATGAAGTGGCCAGCACTTTGCGACGATTCCTTTCTGAGATGTCCTCATAGAGAAAAGTAGGAATTTGGCGTTCGCTTCTGTAAAGATTGGACGATCATTTTGCAGCTCTTACCCGAGTGTCATTACTGGTATCCCCATTGATCTTAAGAAAGACAACATCAGGATAGTCGAGGCTCATCTCCACCACCTTAGGGTAAATCATTTTGCAAGGCCCGCATGTTTTCGTGGAAATGTCAACAACGACCTGCAAAGACCACATGCGTTGAATTTAGAGCAAAAGCACTTCTTACCAACTGCTACTGCATCTCATCCTCAACCCTGGATTGTACCCGCAGAGCTTCAAAACAACCTGTAGGTGTTTTTTGCCATCTCAGAAGGTGGCTAAACCACCCTCCAAATACATTATGAAAGGAGGAAGGGAAGCGGAAAATCAGACTCTGAGTTAATGAGAGCTTATCCAATCTCAGGTAATTAGTTGTTGTTGATACTATTAGACATCTTGAAGGTTAAAAAGCAGAACCTACCAGTTTATCTCCAGCTTCTTCGAGGAAGGTATTGAACGCCTCTTCTGCAGGAAACAATACCCAAACCAAACCAGCATGAGACAGGGTTTTCTTTCCTAAAGATGAAATAAAAAGTTGGATGTAACTCAATAAACGTTCCAACGAATGCGAAAGTATTGACTAGTGCTATGCCTTGAATGCGTATTACAGAAGCCGCAAGAGGAGGGTCTTTTCGCAACCAAGGTTAAAGTGAGCGACAAGGTCAGTTAAACTTCAAAAATCATTTGAGCAACACTAGCATGGCGTGCAAAATCATTAGCACATCAGTAGGTTGTCAAGAACAAAGTAACTTCACGCGCTCGATCCAAGCTCAGACAACAACGAGATGGATGCAAGGTAGTATTCTGAACAACTTTAATCATTGCACCTTCCGACTAAGTACAACCAAACAACGCGTAAGATTGTCAAAGAACACACACCAGATTCAAATTCCAACACGTTGCCGTTAGAATTCGACAGCGGACTCGCAGCACTCTTAGTCACCACAGACGTCACAGACGACACTCGCCCTCCAGCGAACAACGCTATCTCCGCTCCAATCGTCAACCCGCCTGCACTCCCGGCCAGGCGATGCAACCTGCGCTGTGATGACCAACCGGCCATGCTCACCGACGATGGGCATGGCGACGACGCGAGGGGTCCATGCGCACAAAGCGAGGACGCCATAGTGCCAGCAACGGCTGTCCTCTCGACTGCTAGAGACGCCATTTGGAACTCTCAATCTCCAAGCTCCAAGCTGCTCTCGCTGTTTCACTTCTACAGGACTAACCAATGAACCTGTGGCCTGCAGTGATTCTCCAGATGCTATTCGACAAAAGCCTCCCAAATATGAGCTCTGTATCAGAAGAGATTCTCAAGAATCAGGTGTGCGGCTTTGAGCATGCCATGGATTGAAAGGGCAAATTTAAGGCTAGCCGCCCATTGGTCCTTAGTCCGTCACTTTCGACTCCATACATCAAGGCCACACCCTCCATCATGATACTTTTGTTCATTTTAGTCTGCGTCCATGGCGGAGAGATCGATTTGACTCCCTAAAACCAACTTTCGTTCCGCTAAAGGTCGGGTCTTCGGAAGCATCAGCCATTGGCATCTGCAACAGTCCCAAATTTTAATTCGCAGGTGAGTATTAAGTTTAAGTTGAAGAACTAGGAATTGGACGAGAGATGGGAATTGTTAGTTTTAAGTATTTTTCAGTGCGCTTGCCCGGCACAATTCGAAATTTTGGTGTTCTCGTTTGTCCTCTTGAAACTGCTGCTTTGGATCCTGACTGGTAATATTGCTTCCCAATCGGTGGTGTGAGTTGGGTTCAGAAAATCTATGGGTGAATTGCGGATTATGGATTACAAGTTTCAAATCTAACAGAAACAACTTACAGACCTGATGATTCTTATGGATTGTAGACCAGCTGCATTCATTGTGAGGAGTAAACCGCATCTTCACAGCCTGCCTCAGAAAGCATCGAAAGCGGCAGTGAAACGTGAACTTAAAGCGAACATTCAATATCAACGCCAAACAGTGACATAACATCCCTCCTGAGTTTCGCAGCTTACAATAAGCCCAGAAAAACCGGATTCCCACAGACCTACGTTGTTACAAATGTAAGCTTTCACAAAACCATATGGAAAATCTCGCTGCCAATCATATCGTCCGACTTCTATTACTTTTACAGTAGCCTCAATGACTTGCACCAAATTTAGAAACTGGTGCAAAATGCGAAATGTTTCGGTGGGCTTAAGCTCCATAAAAAATTTAAGAAAAAATGAATAATAAATAAATAAAAACGTAGGGATAAAGCTGCTGTATGTACAACGCCAGAAGTACATGAGAGCTATATTATGACATACAAAAATCCTCTTGAACACGTTCAGTGCCAATCCTGACGGATTCACCTGAGGTAGGGGTCAAGTCCAGACTCCCAATTTTCCTTTCTGTGCCCACACCCCTTGAGGGTATACGGCGGTAATGCAGCTCGTCGAATGGATCTACTATCTATACAAACTACACCTAACTCCTTTATAACAAACCTGTATAAAAGCTTGAAGAAACCCAGCCCTCTGTTTCAGCCACACAGCAGTCAGTATGTTTATCGCGCTAATAAGCAAACACATGCTTGACTCCCAGGTCAGAGTGCAAGTGGACAATTGCACAACTGCATATCTGATTCTTGTTAGAAGACTTTGCCATAAACATGAATAACTCAGCTGGATGGGATACTAATTTCAAGGTTTTAAATTTTCAACTCATGTCACATCGAATGGATTCGATAGAAAACCTAAGCCACTCGATAGGCACAAAAATAAATTGCCCTCGTTAATCTCAGGCTTGGCCAGTTGCAGCGAGGACTGCTCCAAGTTGCTTCAGGCCATCGCCAATGCTGTTAAGAGCATTAATGTAACCTGCTCCCAACTGCATCGTCCCTCGAAACTTCTCCCTTTCAAAATCAAGCTTCTTCTTCTCCATATCCATGTCTTCCCTGTGGCGTTTATCTTTGCGGTTCTCACTTTCCATCATCGCATCTATGACCCTTTTATTGTTCATCTTCAGGATACAAGCCAGACCATAATCCTCTGTCGGCGGATATAAAGAGGTCTTTCTCTTTCGCTTTCTCAACAAAGATTCAGGGTCACCCTCAGCATCCGAATCCTCCGGGATGGAGAACTCAGCGTCACTGACCACCTGAATGCTGTGACTTCTATGAGACGCACCTGTGAATGTCCATCAGGCATTACTGAAAGATAAATATGATCAACACGGAATTGCTCCGCCCAGACTAACTGAACCAACAGCGATTTACTTTCACATAATTGGAAAATGAAAAATCGTTCATCAAGGCGCAACATTTGCACGAGGATATCCATACCAGTATGACGAAGCGGCCCTGATGAGTCTAGCTCCCCTGGATCTGCCGGGCGGCTTTTGCTGTACCACTCTACTAAAGCGTTGTAAACCGCCTTGTAGAAGTTAGGAGGCATAGCTGTCTTCTTCTTCTCTTCCTTGGACATGTCCCAATAAGACTTCTGACCTTCAGGGAGACTCTTTTCGTAATCGTGCACTTTCTTGAATTCTGACACCAATAGCTCCCACTTGTCTTGACACTGTTGAGCACTTCTATGAACTCCTTGGCTCCAGCTGTAATCCTCTATCCACTTCCACCTCTCTTGAGCTGATTTGTGCCTTTCTTTCAAGTTTCCTCTACGAACCCTTTCAAAGTCTTCCCTTCTAGCTGCCTGTGAAGCAAGAGTTAACACGCCGAGTTCAATAAGAAAAGTCTAGTCCAAGATCATCCATCATGAATAGTCATACCGGAAGGAGCTATCAAGAAAGATAGAGGATGAGCAAATTTTAGAAGAAAGCAATGTGCATGACGCACTTTGTAATTACTCGAAATGTTGCGTTTCTTCAGACAACGGGCGAACTCATCTATGAAACAGGACTGCGATGAATATGATGCGACTTGATATAAAATTTATGAAACCAGCTCAAATGATATATTATATCGGTTACTGTAACATAAGCTAGGTAATGACGTAAAGTTACAAGAACAAACGCAACTTCACGTCAACTCAACCTTACCAAACAAAATGCATTTTACTTTTGCGCAGCATCGTCACTTTACCTGCAACACCAGGATCTCCGCTGAAGTCCAATTTCCTTTCTTGTAGATCCTACCTTTCCTGAATCCATCTCCCTTTCGACGGTCCCCAAACACTACGCCATTTTCACTTCCCGTGTGATTATGATGATCTCTATCATCGACAATGGCATCGGCCAAAGAATGATGGCCCAAGACAACAGGAGGAGGGCCCATGTGATCAGCCATTGCATTCAGCAACACGGGCTCCCGATGAAGGATGCTCTATTATCTGCAGAATGAAAAATATGAATATCTACGAAAAGCATCCAAAATAAGAATTCCTTAACTCAATTACGAACAGCCATAGTCCCAGTACTTCCAACAGGATATCGCAGAAAATGTTGTGTCATGATTTTGTGTTATGGATCACACACAGAAGATATATTATTTTAAATACAGATGAATGTGAGAACGTAACCTACATTCATACGCATAGTTAGCAATATTTTTGCAGTTCAATAAAAGGTGGAACATGATCAGACGCGACAGTCTTTCAAGAAAGAGAGATGTTTTGAAAAAAAATTACATGGAGAACAGACCAGCCACGATGGCATTCTTGAACTATGTTTACACTCACATGAGACACTGTGATCATTTGTTTCCTTTATACTCGCTTCTCATGCTCCATATCTCCCGTTACTGATTAATACGTACAATTAGTAAACAGCTTCCACACCTCATCTGCAGGCTCCCCTTCGTGCACAGCTAGCAATGCCTCAGGCTGCTCCCATATCAAAAATTGGCAACAGCCTTTCAACACACCTGCTAGTTCCGAGTAAAAACCATCAACGATTCCATCCTCGACATCGCATCCCACAAGTCAAACACACATCCTCCTCGTCTAAACTTCTTCCAACACCAATGAGTTTTCCAACTGAAATCATGTGACACGATCTCCCCCCCCCCCAAATGTGAAACAAAAGTTTCCAGAACGAGACTATACGATCGCGTATGAAGCATCATCAACTCATGCATTAACACTTCTTAAACTACGAATAACAACAGTACAGAGAGAGAAATGATATCCAAGCACCGAACTCCAAGCCTAACAGCACAGCCCTACCCGATTAAATCACCCGACCATAACACGCGCATCGGCACATAACAACAGCAATTCTGTCAACACATAAGACTCATCGTCACGACCAAGAAACCTTCGGGACGAATGCAAACATTAAAACACCTCAGTCGCAGGAATGCAGTTACACAGAACCAAAACGCACGTTTACGGCTCACGAATTTGGAACAATACGGCTCCATTCCGCCAACACATGGGACCAGTAACGAGAAGCAGACAACAACACAACACAACCCCCCTCGCCACTCCTACGACAGCCTCTAGAAACCGCAACACTCCACCAAAATAAGCCAACGATGACTCGTTGGAAAGCGGTCAAGCATCCGCGACCGGGTAGAGGAGGCAGGAACCGGGGCGACGGGATGCGAGACGGGAAACGCCTGGGAGACAACACTCACAGCGAAATGCGCACGCCGGGGTTTGGAAGCAGCAGGGCCGAGCGTGGGCTGGGCCGGGCGAGGAAGACACTGCCGGGCAACCCTAACCCGCTCCCTAGACCCGGGTTGGCTGCCATTCCCCTCGCATCTACGTTTTCCCAGCATGTGGCATTTCTTGACGTCATCAATGGGGTCGAACGTTCACTTCCCGTTCCCATCTTCTAACTTCCTACTCACACCGTGGCTTCCTTCCAGCCGTCGATTTTGTATCCCCTGGTTTTCACATTATCTCAGCCTTTGGCTCCCTCTTGGACCTTTTGGATCAATTCCTAACAATTCCACTGAAACGTTTTGTGGATTTGCTGGATGTCTACACTACTCAACGTATGTTAGTTGATTGGTAAAAGCCAACAACAGTGTGGTATATATTTTAGTAAGTCTATGGTTATTAAACTCTAATAAGATTTTCAATTTAGGGGTTATCTTGATAATAATGGATTGTGTGATTGATGATGCAAATGTTTCTAAAATTGGCATTAATGAGTATGCATGATGCAAGTCCAAAATAGAAAAATAAAAAGAAAAGTGTTCTGACTAATGAAAGGGTGTCAAAACAATAAAGTAAAGAAAAATAAAACAATGAAAGGGTATATGTGTATGTATGTTTGTGTATATATACATATTTACACATATACATATATACATACAAGAAATTCTGATATATTATCTGTAAACATAAATTAAAAACTAAAAAATTAAAAATGGTAAATGTGAATACATTTGACTAACTTATGAAATAATGTATTATCAGTGACAATGTTTATGTACAATATAATTTTTGAAAAAATATTTTAATCTAAATTTTGGGAGAAAAAAAATCAAAAAAAGTTTCTTTTTACAATTTCTATATACTGAATTTTTTAAACCATTTGTGTAAACTCTTTTCTTTTTTTCTTTTTTTTTTTTCTTTTTTTTTCTTTTTTCTTTTTCTTTTTTTCTTTTTTTTGAACAACTAACTTGGTATAAGACATACTTGTTGATAATGAATTTATACATGGAATTAGAAGCTTTAATCTATCTAGAAATATCTATAAAGCAAAATCAAAAAATATAAATATATATGATTGCTCATAGGTTTGTCTCCCAGTCCAATTGTTCATTAAGATAGGAAACATAAATTTATTGTGAATATTCAAGTTTTTAAATGAAGACATTTAAATAATTGACAATGCAAGAACTAATAAGTATTTATTTATATATATATATATATATATATATATATATATATTTATTAAAAATAATTTAGGTCTTGGCTAAAAACATAACATTAAAGACTTAAAATTTACTTGTAGTATTATCTTAAGTAAAAGAAAGTAATCAAACAAATTGAAAAGAAAAAAAAAAAAAAAAAAAAAAAAAAAAACTTGTAAAATCTTAAGTCAATCAATGTAGTTTGATTTTTATTCCAAATATTTCTAATGAGTAGGAAAAAAGTGTTTACATATCTTTGAGATGTTTTTGTAAATAAATGAAATATAAATAAATAAAATAATCATGTGTGAGGATGAATTTTTCCCTCCACCCAACTTATAAGATGGCCTCGATTAAGAATCACTTGTAATTGGTGGTATAAAGTAGAAGTAGCAAGAATAAGAAAAAAAAAAAGAAGAAAAATACAAAACAAAAAAAAAAAAATGTAATCAAGCAATTATATACTACAAAACTAGTCAAGGTTTGTTTATTAGCTTTTCATTTAGTAAAAAATAAAAAATAAAAAATAAAAAATATATTTTGAGATAGATAAATCTTTTATCTTTCCAATAACATAAAAAAATATGTAAATTAAAGTTACTATGAATAATTTATATTAAAGATAGAAGGTAAATAATAAAAAAATTAAATGAATACTTTTAACATCAAAGATAACTTGCTTTAAGAGATCAATAGATCAAGCCTCACCAAGGCTCACAAGTAGTGTATATAGGTTGTTGAGAGAAGCCACAAGGCCTTAGTCTTATCTTCCTACCTATATCCAAGGTGCTACAACCCATATGGAACTTGTGCACTTTCCTTTCTACAAGGACTAGACTAGTTGTTGGTCTTCATATTTTCTACTAGTAAAATTCCTTCTTTTTTCATTTTTGACTTCACCATGGTATTTAAAAACATCCAATTAGAGTAAAATTCTTGCATGGTCTTTGAATCTTGCTTCATTTCTTCATAATGGCTCCCAAGGTGGTAAAATTCAAATTTACCAAGGTCTTGAAATCTTCTACAAAAATTCCTAAAAAATTCTAAATAAATTCTAAAAAACTATATAATATTTTTATACTAATAATATATATTTGAGGCTATATTTTCTATATTGATATTTTTTATAACAATGAAATCAATTTACATCTACTAAAAATCCCATTTTCTATATAATTAACTAAAAAGATATGAAGTTCTCTTCATGCTTCTTCTAACAACTAATTAATCATTGATAGGATTTTTATAAGTAATAAATATAGATATGAGGCCAATAAAGACATTGGTCTCATTACCTAATCATAATACTTAAAAATAAGTAAAAAAAATTAAATTAACTAAGATAATTGCCTCCAAGACTTACTAAGATTCTATTTTTATGACTTTTCTTTCAATAAGACTTTTATAACTTATAAATACTTCTAAATTCTAATAAATAATTAGATAATAAAAAAAAAATTGATCTTAATATTTATATAATAAAATAATTTAAAACTATGTTTTTAAATAATCCACGAATTAAGATATATTGGTGGGATTCATATCAGGTTAATAATCTGAGTAAATTTTTGTGCTCTTTCAAAAGAATATAGAATTCAAAAAAAAAATTATAAACCAAATTTTTATTAAAATAATTTTTAGGTGGATACTTTCTTTTATTGTATAGACATCTCTCTTTTATTACAAAGACATTGCATGTGCCATACTAACACAACACTATTCTTACAATTTTTCCAATAAGTTTAATACTAATGAATTTGAATACATATGAAATTAAAATATTGTAGCATATCGTGTTATATTTTAAAGTAATATGTTATAGCATATTATTGAGATATATATATATATATATATATATATATATATATATATATATATATAGATAGATAGATAGATATAAAATGTGATTTAGATAAATACATAAATATATTGACATATGAATAGATGTATGGATGTTTAGATGGATAAAAACAATATAGGCAATAGTTTTAATACTAATTTAAAAAAAGATGCAAAAGAATATTATATTCACTAATATAAGAAGAAAATAATAATAATGAAATAAAAACTAGTCACTTAGGCTCAAGTTTATATTTTATAAATGTAAGCATTAAAAGATCAAGAATAAAAGATTATATATATTTATTAAGTTAGATTTATATTTAGAATTTATTTTGAAAATATTAAGAAGAAAATATAAGGTAGAATAATTTTTTTTATATATAGCATGAATAAAATAGTCATTTAAAAATTATATTGTGTTTATTTCAAGATGTAGTTTTTAGAAAAAGTTAAGGAGTCACATTAAAAAATGCTTAGAATAACTATTTTAAATAAATAAATCAATTAATATACTACTTGTAATTTTTTAATCAGCATATTTGATGATATATTTAGACTTTAAATAATAGAATTATTTGGTTTATTTTATGACATCTTTTCAATTACCAGTATATTAAAAGGCTAAGACTTTTAAATGAGCATTTTTCTTTATCAAGAAGAAGACCTTATTAAGGCTTTTGAATTTTAGTCTTTAAAAGTAAGCTTCTAGATATTAAATATTCTTCAGCTAGAATCATAAACCTTTTGTAATTATATTTTCAAATGCTTATTTATATAGAATTAATTTCTAAAATCTAATATTGTTTATAACTACATGTTATTTTTATTTTTTTTATTTTTTTTTTCTTGCAACTGTAAAGCTTTATTAGAGCTATTTTGAAAAAAAATAAAAAAAAATAAAAAATTGTGAGATTTTAAAAAAATAATTTTTATAATGTCTAATAATATATGTAGAATTCTTTAATACATGTTGTTATGGTATGGATTAATAAGAGAAGAACTTTTAGCTATTAAGATTCAACAACTCCAATAAAGACAAAAAGATATGCAAATAGGATTAGAAAGGTAAAAAACAGGAAGGTTACAAAATAAGGCTTGATTTCATAACCAAAATTGATTAATGTCTAAAGTAATTAAAAAATGTGATTAGATTTTGGTCTATAATAGTAGCTTAGATAATCAATATAGTACTTTAAAAAAAATATATATATATATATATATATATATTAATTTAGACCATATGTAATAACAATTATTTGTGATAATGCAATCTATTTATTATAAGAACTAGATGGAATAAGGTTGAAAATACCAGTTGTATAATGAGGCATGGATAAGATAATTATATTATTGACATGTAGAGATAGATAATTAGGGCTGTTTTTGAAAAATTTATAGAAGCTTCTAAAACTAGGGCCAGGTTGGTGGTTTATATGAGGCCTATCATAGAACATCCTAGAAAAATTAAAGGTGGTTATCAAGGTGGGGCCTATCTCTACAATCTTCTAGAAGGAAAATTATTTTGATAGGGCCCACCATTAAAAACACTCTAAAATATTCTAAGATATTTGGACAAATTATAAATAGGATTGATCAAAGCCATTTGGGGCATTTGGTCAAGTATGGCTTCAGTTCTTTTTTTTTTCAATAAAGTTTGGTTTGTATTTTTTGTTTAGTTCTGTTCTAATTATTTTTGCTCTATTTTGTCTTTTATATTCTATTGTATTTAATTCTATTCAGTTTTTTTTTTGGCCATTTTGTCCTACTTTGTGATGGAATTTATGTTGTTATAGACAAAAAGGATTTTGAATCTTTAAGAGAATTCCATTCCATTTCAAATTGTTAGAGAAACAAGTAAAGATATTTAAACAAAGATATACAAAAATCAATATAGAAGACCTTCTTGAAGACATAATTTTTTC